ATAAAGAAGGACTGTGGAAAGTTTAAAGCTTGGTTGTCCAAACGTGAGCCTACAGGGATTCATAAACTGGAGGAAGCCAAATCAGGATGAGTCAAGACTCACTGTGGGAAATAACGAGAAAGCTGATGTTGTGTTTGTGGGAGATGTAATCTTGATTCTAGACTCTGGTTTTAGATTAATGTTGAAAGACACTTTTTATGTACCTTCTTTTAGACGGAACTTAGTTTCCGTATCGTGTTTGGACATGTATGGCTACTCTTTTGAAATCAAGAACAATGTTATTTCTTTGTTTCTTAATTCAAATAAGGTTGGGTGTTGTTATATGTCCAACGGATTGTACGATTGTGTTTGTCTCCCAATGACATATACGTCGCTTATACGGCGAAAAGGTTGTTTCCAAAAGACCACTACCTAAGGAACAGTCTTATGCATTGTGGCATAAAAGGCTTGGTCATATCTCTAAGGATAGAGTAGAAAGGCTGATAAAGACTAACATCCTGCCTGCTCTTAAAGATGACCTAGAGATATGCGTAGACCGTTGTAGAGGTAAAATGACCAAGATAAGGAAGAAAACTCAGTCAAGTTCGACTGTTGGAGGTCATTCACACTTATATAAGTGGACCCTATACGGCAACCTTATGTAGAAATTTTTATTTCATTACATTTATTGATGACTATTCTCGATATGGCTATCTGTACTTGATTAAAGAAAAGTCTGAGTCTCTTGACAAGTTCAAGATTTTTCGGACTGAAGTCGAGAAACAGTTGGGAAAGGTCATAAAGGTTGTTAGATCTGACCGAAGTGGAGAGTATTATGGCAAACATGGCGATGCCGGACAGCTTAAGGGGCCATTTGCCAAATACTTAGAGGATTCCGGGATAGTGGCTCGGCCTTACTATGCCCGGAAGTCCCGAGCAAAATGGTGTAGCCGAAAGGCGCAATCGCACCCTTATGGAAATGGTGAGGAGTATGATAAGTAGGACAAATTTACCTGTTTTTCTGTGGGGTGAAGCTTTGAAAACAGCTTTGTACATTCTGAATCGTGTACCTACTAAAGCTGTTCCATTGACTCCTTTTGAGTTATGGACTGGACGTAAGCCTAGCTTAAACCATCTTAAGGTTTGGGGATGTCCTGCAGAAGTGAAGTTATACAATCCAACATTAAGTAAGTTGGACTCCAGAACCACTCGGTGTTACTTTGTATCTTACCCTGATCATTTGAAGGGATATCGGTTCTATAATCCCAATGGAGGCACAAGAATTGTGGAATCACAGACAGCCAAGTTTCTGGAGTTTGATGTGGCCGAAGAAAGTAGGCGCTCGCAGACTATTGAGGATAATAGTACGGTGGGTAATGTTGTATCTTTATCTCCTCCCATACGTATAATTGTGGAGACTCCCACACCACGATCGAACCCGTTGAGACTCAGGGATCCCGTTGTCGAGACAGCTCCTAATGAAGTTCCTCAAGGCTCTCGTGCACAGGATGAGGCCGTTGTTGTTCCAAGAAGGAGATCCATTAGGGAGAGACGATCAGCTATACCACCGACTATTTAGTATATATAGGAGAGCAAGACTACGATATTGGTTCCAGTAGCCGATCCAAGTGACTTATACGGAAGTCACTTGTCCTCGCCGGAACTGTGGTTGGATGCAATGAGAGATGAAATGCGATCTATGAAGCATAATGGAGTTTGGGAACTTGTTGAATTACCTGAAGGTCATAGACCCATTGGCTGCAAATGGGTGTATAAGACTAAAAGGGACTCCAAAGGAAAGATTGAGAAGTTTAAAGCCAGACTAGTAGCCAAGGGTTTTACTCAGAGAGAAGGAGTAGACTATGAAGCAACTTTTTCTCCAGTCTCTTCGAAAGATTCTTTCAGAGTGATCATGGCATTGGTAGCTCATTTCGATATGGAGTTACACCAGATGGATGTTAAAACTGCATTTCTCAATGGAGACCTTAATGAAGAAGTCTATATGATGCAACCCGAAGGTTTTGCGGCAAATGATTCAGGTACGCTTGTATGTAGACTGAAAAAGTCTATTTATGGTCTCAAGCAAGCTTCTAGACAATGGTACTTGAAGTTTCATAGTGTTGTCGCTTCATTTGGTTTTGTTGAGAACAGAGTAGATCAGTGTATATACTGCAAGGTCAGTGGGAGGAAATTCATTTTCCTTATACTCTATGTTGATGATATTGTGCTTGCAAGCAGTGACCTTGGTTTACTGCATGAGACAAAGTGGATGTTGTTAAAGAACTTTGATATGAAAGACCTTGGTGAGGCGTCTTTTGTCCTTGGTATTGAGATTCATAGGAATCGTTCTCGCCGACGATTGGGCTTATCTCAGAGGGCATATGTTGATCGTATCTTAGAAAGATTCAACATGCAACAATGCAAGCCAGGAATTGCTCCTGTCAGTAAGGGTGATAAGTTGAGTCTGTCACAATGTCCTCATTCAGATTTTGAGAAAGCCCAAATGAAGAATATACCTTATGCTAGTGCACTTGGGAGTATTATGTATGCTCAAGTATGTACTAGACCAGATATTGCTTTTGCAACAGGACTTCTAGGCAGATATCAGTCAAATCCAGGACACGATTATTGGGTTGCTGCCAAGAAGGTTTTGAGGTACTTAAAGAGGACAAAAGACTATATGCTGATTTACAAACATGTTCAGGACCTACAGCTAGTTGGGTATTCGGATTCAGACTTTGCTGGCTGTCAAGATGAAAAGAAGTCGACAACAGTTACATCTTTAAGTTAGCGGGAGGTACAAGATCATGGAAAAGTGAGAAACAGAAATCAATGACATCCTCTACCATGCAAGCAGAGTTTGTAACATGCTTTTCGGCCGCTACTCAAGCAATTTGGCTCCGGAACCTCATTAAGGAGTTGATCGTATTTGATTTTGTGGATAGGCCCATACAGCTGTATTGTGACAATAACTCTGCAGTGTTGTTCATTAACAACAACAGAGGTCTCAAGGGGTCTAAGCATATGGAGGTCAAGTACTTGACTATAAAGGAAAAAGTTCAGGATGGTGACATTGCAGTAGAGCACATTTCAACAGATGATATGATTGCAGATCCGCTAACTAAAGGCCTTCGCCCTTGTGTATTTGATCGACATATCATTAACATGGGCTTAGGAGTATCATGGGATACTGTTGATTAGTGGGAGCTGTTTAGTTTTATGTTGCTCTTATGAAGTTTGTATCTGATTTTGTTACATTTTGTAATATTTGAATATGTATCAACTCTTTTGCATTCAATGAGGTATTTGTGAATGTAGATTTATCAAGTTGAGTATACATATTTGATGAAAATCTCGAGGCATTGTGTAAACCTTGAGTACAGGCTATGGGGCATTCTTAGTATTAGCCTTAACGATATGTCTTGTTACACATAAAGTACAGTTAACTATCAAGGTAAGACATATGAAGGTTCGTTGGAACCATGAAGGATATTCTCTGGTGACACATTAGGTTTTGTGACACTTAAGGAGAGAGAATTTGGACTAACAAAGTGGACAACACATAAAGTATCACTCATTATGAGGTATTGTCCATTTGACACACTACCATATTGAATCCATATCAGTAAAGTTGAAAGCACTCGTGACCATGGAAGGCTCTGCGTGAGTACATGCAGTTACCGCCATGATTCGGTGTTCGAGATTTTATGGGATCGGATTGACTATTAAGAATAATCTCTAGACCAATATAAGGGTGCGCACACAGTTCTGTTTCAATTAATATCGCCCAAGTGGGAGAATGTAAGAATTTCCTAATGTGGGCTTCATTAATTGAAATTAACTGAATTAGTTTGGTCTAATAAAGGTAAGATATATGGGTTCTTAATAAGTCTAATATGGGGCTGGCTGGTGTGGGCCGAGTACGGCCCGGCCCGTAATGAGAGGGCCCGTGGTCGAAGACTACATAAATAGCGCTCAAGTCCCTCCCCTAACCCGATGATGCACAATTTGACTCACATACGGATTTAGAGAGAACTTTCTTCTCGTGAGTGGCAATCTCATTAGGCCAGTGCTCTAACGAAGGGATAGGGGAGAAGCATTTGAGTTCGTGTTCGGAAACCGTCGCAAATTCCGCGTCAAGTTCGATGGATTCCAAACCAGGTACACAAATCTACAATTTCTCCATTATCGTGTTTCGGTTTCTGATTATGGTGATCCTGGGCGTGCCATTTTCGTGGCCAACAAAGCATTCATGGAGATTAGTTAAGACTTCAGTCTCAAATTTCGAATATCCATTTTATATATAAAATACTTTAATTTGCAAACAAACTAGATTGAAAACCGTTAGCTACAAGAATAATTGGAGGTACATACGAAGATCGAGCCATTCACTCAGCCCTTAATTAATTCGGTTCTATAGGACTAAAGTCGCATTCGATCCAATCACCAAATTACATCATAGTAATTATTATAGGCAGACCATAAGCCTAATGCTATTTTATATACTTGGTCAATCATACATGTTAACCTAATTTTTTATCCTATGACAAAATATCCTGCAGGATGACCATAGTTCAAGCATCCCGCAGGATGACCATAGCTCAAGCATAAATGACAAATAAATTGTGCGATTCAGGTTTTTGGTTACATTATAGTAATTAATGTTAATCAGAAACAATAGCATACTTAATATCATATGCAGACGATAAGCTGTGAATATACTTGGTCAATCATACATGTTAACCTAATTTTTTCGATTGACAAATATCATGCAGGATCCATCATAGATTAAAGCATACGACACATAAGTTGCCTGATTCGGGGTATTTGATTTCAAAGTTAATCAGAAACAATAGCAAAGTTAAGTAAACACTCTTTAATACAATAACTTGCAAACCATCGTTTTCACATCACGACTAGTCAAAAAAGAATATTTACAAGGAACGCTCTACGGTAAACATCACTGATTATATTAAACCTAAAATTTGTATCTCTATAAGAAATTAGCACTGAATCACGATTCAGTATGTTAAAAGCTTTTCCAATTCATCATATAGATCGGACAATGCTAATTCTGGTCCGGTCGCCCATGGTTGTGCGGGAGTTGATGCCCCCACCGCCGGCATCAGAGGCGAGCCATAAAAACCAGCATCGTTAATGTTATCGTCTCGAGCATCGGCAGCTTGTGTCGATGAAGATGGAGGCACATCGACCTCTGTTGCGTTTTCTTCGAAGGTTATCTCGTAATGCATCGTCGGATCATCTTTATCGCCGATGCCGTCATGATTATTGTCTTGAGCATCAGCAGCTTGGATTGATGAAGACGGAGACGCATGTACCTTTGCCGTGCTTCCTTCAAAGGTTATCACATACGGCGTCCCCGGATAATCTTGACAAATGACCTCGTTCGGTGGTTGACGCATCGGCTCATTCCGGATTTGGTTCGATGGGGTACTACTAACCACAGATATAGGCATTGGCGGTGCGTACGACATTTGACGATGTGCGGCGTTGTCGAAGTGGACGGGATAATCGCACAATGCTAAATTCACGATTGGTGGCTTCAAACTACAGGCTCCGGAAACGACGGATGAATGTTGAGGGGAAATATAATCTTCCATTATTTTTACCTTTTTCCCTCGGCGATGTTCTTCAGTCGATCCGATCGTGATCACGTCCGAACCTTTTTTCTCCGCCATTTCGAGGTTTGTGATTGCACACACGACCAACTGCAAAAGGAAGATAAAAGTGAGAAAAGGTCAATTCAGATGTAAACAGAAATAGAGAAATTAATTAAACAAAATTTAGGGGAGGAAAGAGCTTAATGAAGAATCGTAATATGACAATAGTTGTGACCAAGATTGAAATAACAGAAAGAACAACGCCTAAAGAAAACGAAAAAGGGGTACAAGATCATTATATGAATGATTGTGTGGCAAAGCTTGAGTAAGTAATAACAGAAAATAACATGCAAAGGACGCACAGAAAACGGTATGAACAGGCAGTAATTGTTGACATTCTATGGTAATAATCCTCAAGAACAACATCATTCAACTCTATTTTCTGCCGAAAGGCATTCTTGAAAGTCTTGGAAAAAATTCATTCGATAAGTTCGTTAAATCCATTAACTACAGAAGATGAATCCGAGAAATTTATTTACCTCTTGACCCTTCATAGAGTACTCGTGCATGGTCCAATGTCCGTTCTTCGTCTTCTCGCTTCCGGTCGACGACTTAAAAGTGAACAGCTTGTTGTAACCGACGGTGTAGCCTCGATCGTCCACGATTTCTCGCTTATTCCCATTGCTCCAAGTCCCGGAACCGGCAGTCCTCTTCACCCTGGACTTGATCATCTTTAACCTAGTGAAGACGTAGAAACTTTCCTTCGAATTCGCGTCGAAGATCTCCCAAGGATCTTCGTCGCCGTAAATGTCGACCTCGGGCATGAATGGAGGAATGGCCTCCGATTGCCCTTCCACCTTCTTCGCGAGGTAATGGAAGAAGAGGTCGTCCTCGGACGGGCGAAACCGGTAACCGATCGGATACCCATCCATCGGTTTTATCTTCTTTCTCTCCATCTCCCTTCTCTCTCAAGAACTCTCTATACTCTGAATGACTGCGAATTGATTTGTGTGTGTATGTGATTGTTCTCGGCTTAGACCGGTAATGCTGATGCACTTAAATACACATGTGAGTTTCAATGGTGTATAAGATGGATACACGTAATGGATCTTGGACTTGAACCATCAAATATGTTGTATAATCTTTTTTCTTTCTTGTAAATCAATATTTTGAAAGGTGACGTGGCGCTTCTAGAGCACCGTTTCTACAATAATCTGCTTCGCAAGTTTGTTTGCGGTTGCCAATCCTAGAAAAAGAGGGATTCCTAATGCACTAGGCTTAAAAAACGTGCATTTAAATTTCAAAAATTAAAAAAGAAAGAACAGTGGCGGTGCATCCATCTTATGCACCATCAAAACTCTCATGTGTATTTAAGCGCATCAACATTACCGGTCTAAGCCAAAACCAATCACATACACACACAAATCAATTCGCAGTAATCCAGGGTATAGAGAGTTCTTGAGAGAGAGGAGAGATGGAGAGAAGGAAGATAAAGCCGATGGATGGGTATCCGATCGGTTACCGGTTTCGCCCGTCCGAGGACGACCTCTTATTCCATTACCTCGCGAAGAAGGTGGAAGGGCAATCGGAGGCCATCCCTCCATTCATGCCCGAGGTCGACATTTACGGCGACGATGATCCTTTGGGAGATCTTCGACGTGAATTCAAAGGAAAGCTTCTACATCTTCACTAGGTTGAAGATGATTAAGTCCAGGGTGAAGAGGACTGCCGGTTCCGGGACCTGGAGCAACGGGAATAAGCGAAAAATCGCGGACAATTGAGGCTACACCGTGGGTTACAACAAGCTGTTCACCTTTAAGTCATCGATCGACCGGGTGCGAGAAGACGAAGGACGGACATTGGATTACGCACGAGTACTCTATGAAGGGTCAAGAGGTATTCTAATTTCTCCGGTTAATCTTCTATAGTTAATGGCTTTAAGAGGGGATGTTAAAATAGGCCACGGCACTTGTCGGGTGGGATAGTCGTCTTTCGCATGTTATTTTGCATTGTTATTTTCTCAACCTTTGCCACACAACTGTTCATATAATAATTCTGTAACCCTTTTCACCTTTTCTTGGTTTATTTTCGCTATTTCAATTTCGATCTCAATGACGTTTTCTCTATTCATCTTTTGCATCGTTGTTTTGTGTTGTTTCAATCTTTGTCATAATTATTATCATACTACGAATCTTCATTAATCTCTTTGCTCCCCTAAATTTTTGTTAATTAATTTCTCTGTTTTTGGATCCATCTCAATGACCTTTTCTCACTTTCATCCTCTTTTTGCAGTTAGTCTTGTCTGTAATCACTAACCAAGAAAAGGCGGAGAAGAAGAGTTCGGATGTGATTGTGATCGGATCGACCGGAGAACATAGCCGAGCGAAAAAGATAATGACCGTCGACAATCATATTTCCCTTCAACAATCAGCCACTGTTTCCAAAGCCTCTACTTCGAAGCCGTCGGTCGTGAATTTATGGCCGTGCGACTGCCCCGTCCATATTGACAACTTAGCCCATCATCAAATGTCGTACGTGCTGCCGATGCCTATGTCAGTGGTTAGTAGCACCCCATCAAACCAAACCCGGAATTAATGCGCCAATGCGTCAACCACCGAACAAGATCATTCATCATGATTATCCGGTGACGCCATACGTGATATCCTTTGAAGGAAGCCCGACAAAGGTATATGCGCCTCCAGCTTCATCAATCCAAGCCGATGATGCTCAAGGCAATAATCATGACGGCATTGGCGATGAAGATAATCCGGTGATGCATTACGAGATAACCTTCGAAGAAAACGCAGCAGAGGTCGATGTGCCTCCGTCTTGGTCAGCACAAGCTGCCGATGCTCGAGACGATAACATTAACGATGTTGGTTTTTATGGCTCGCCTCTGACGGCGGCAACGGGGGCATCAACTCTGGTGCAACCATGGACGACCGGACTAGAATTAGCACCATCCGACCCATACGATGAATTGGGAAAGCTTTTAAGATTCTGATCATCAAGGGCGAGTTTCTTATGGAAGTACAAACTTTAGGTTTTAGATAATCAGTGATGTTTATTGTAGAATGTTCCTTGTAAATATTTTTATGACTAATCGGTGATATGAAGTAGACAGTTCGCAAGTTATCTTATTTAAGAGCGTACATTCAATTATATTATTTTTTTCTGATTAAATTTTATTATTATGATCTAAATAAAAACATGAACCAGACAATTTATTTGTCATATATGCTTGAACTATGGTGGTCCTGCTGAATATTTTGTCATAGGAAAAGAATTAGGTTAACATGCATGGTTGGCCAAGTATATAAATATCGTTAGGCTTATGGTGTGTTTATGATAATTACTATGATGTAATTTGGTGATTGGATCGGTAATTCTGTAAAACCGAATTTGACTACGAGCTGAGTGAACGACTCGATCTGCATATGTACCTCCAATTATTCTTCTAGTTAATGGTTTTCAATTTAGTTTGTTTGCAAATTAAACTATTTTATATATAAAACGGATATCCGAAATTCGAGACCGAAGTCCTGACTAATCTCCATAGATACTTGTCCTTTTGCGTGAATTGCATAAGCATTTAACTATAGGTGGCTGTCGTGGCCCTTAAGATTACTTTGAATTGTAAACGTTGTAATTTGTATGGAGGATCTCCTAGATCCATACTTAGGGCTTAATAAACTCGACAAACTCTTAGGGGTTGATTAACTTTTGAATTATACATTGGAAAGTTTCAAATCGATCCCGACACTGGTGTTTCATCTATAATATGGACTAAGTAGAAGAAGGAAATTAAGGACATGTATTATATTATATTAAAGATATTTAAGTTAAAGTCACAGTTTGTCTCACTTTTTGCTTTCTGGAATTACCCTGGCTATGTATGATAAAAATTCATCGATTAATCGCCACTTTCTTTCATGCGTATATAACCACTCCTTTTTCTCAATATTTTAACAAGTTCAATATGAATTTAGGGATATTTACTATATAAGTTTTTAAGCTATATTTCACATTCGACAGTTTTCATCTTATCCTTAAAATGGTGTCACTAACTAAATTTAACAAATAGAATTGATAATAGGGTGGTGTTATTTCCACCCCTTACTAAATCAACCTAATTTTCACCAAAAATACGAAATTGTCATTAATCATTTCAATTGCAATTTAAAGTGATGGTCTCGAATTATTTACATTTGTTTCTTTTTCTAAATTTTTTTTTTATTTCTACGTGTATCTAGTTGCCATTATTATGAATTTCATGTGTTTTATTTTTTTTTATTGTGGGTATCTTGTGTATATTAAAGGCACTATAATTTCTTTTATCTTTTCAAATTTTACTTCTCTAGAAATTTATTTTATGGAAAAGAGAAATTCTCAAGAAACCTAATGCTTTTCTATATTGTCGAGCAAATTTGTAAATGAATTATCAAGTAGAATCTATGAAAAGAATTATCATAGACAATTTTTTTAACACAATCACATGTTTATAAATTTTTACTTATGATGTGCACACCATCATCAAATCCTTTCTTATCATAATGTGTTTTCGTAAACACTTTATGTATGATATTGATTTTTGTCAATAAAAAATGATTGAGATTTCACTGGCACGTGAAATGTTTGATTATGACAACTAAATAATAAATAGAAATAGAAAAAATTGGAAAAAAAAAAGACGGAAGTACATAAATTTAGGCCACTACTTTAAATTTCAATTGAATGATTGAGGATAAATTTGTTCTTCAAATTTGATTTCGATACATCAATGTTCAATGAGTATCCATCTATAGGGAATTAAATTCAGACGAACTTTGTGTGTGTATCTATATGGTTTCTTTTTTGTTAATGATTTGGGTCCATGAGCGTTGAAACCTATCTACTTATTTTTTGTAATTTCTCCAAAATTTTTTGTATTTTATTTTCAAAATGAAAAGGGGCAGTCGCGGCCGAAGAATAAAAGTTAGAAGCATAATTTAAGTTGACCTCGAATTCGGATTGATACGCGAGAGATATTTTATTTTATTTTTTTTAAATCATGGAGGTAGACCTCGGGATTCGGGAACGGATCAAACCCGACCCGGTAATGGGGGTCCATTTCGATGACAGGATCCGATCCAAATGTACAAACACCACCGGACCCTTCCCAAACCCCAGAGAGCACAGAGCAGGAAGTATGCTGCTGCGCTCCATTCGCGCTTCGCTCCCCACCATCGTCCGCCGCTTCTCGGCGGAGGCGGCGGCGGCGGAGATCCCGGAGACCGCGTCTGCATCCGCCACAGCGGACACGACGGTCGCTCCGGAGGCGGCCTCCGCATCCGCCGCGGTGGACACGGCGGTGGTTCCGGTGGCGGAGTTTCCGGTGGAGGCCTCGGCGTCCACGGCCACGGACAAGGCGGCTGATAGCCCTGCGACCACGGTTGCCTCGGCCTCCACGGCGGCGAAGGTGTCGGAGGGGGCGGTTATTCGCCAACGGGATGAGGGAGGGCGCACGGACGACGAAACCCAGCTCCGTCGCACCATCTCAATGCTTCGCAAATTCAAGCGCTACGAGCGCGCTCTAGAGGTATGTGCTCTTCGTGTTCTCACTCTGCCTAATAGTGCTCTCTGATCTAACTCGGGCGAAAGTGAAAGTTCCTTAAGAGTTTTCAGGATCTTCTGCTACATATAGGACATGTAGATGTTTACGTCCTGGTATGGCTTCACAAAGTTGAGACTTGTCGAGCCTCTCAACCACGAATTCAAGCGCACAAATTTGATGTCGCAAGATGTGAATGCTCGTGTGCGTGTCTGTGTGTGTTATACGTACGCTTAATGTTTTCTATATTGTTCCCTTCGCAGTTATGTAAATGCATGACACTGCGGCAAGATGTGAAGTTGTTCCCGAGAGACTATACGGTCCACTTAGAATTAATTGATAAAGTTCACGGTCTAAGCAGTGCGGAGAAGTTCTTTGAGGATCTCCCTGCTGAGGAGAGATGTCCAAGTACCTGCAATGCTCTGCTCGGTCTCTACGCCCAGAAGCTTTTGCCTGACAAAGCTGAGGCCTTAATGGCAAGAATGTCAACTTGGGGTTTCTTGAAGAGCCCCGTTCCCTATAACCACATGATATCGCTGTATACCTCCAATGGACAACTGGAGAAGGTCCCTGGAGTGATTGAGGAGTTGAAAAGGACCGCTTCACCAGACACCATGACGTTTAATCTGTGGCTGAATGCGTGCAAGGAGCGAAATGATGTTGGAGCTGCTGAAAAGGTTTTCCGGGAGATGGAGAGTTCACAAATGCGTCCTAACTGGGTGACCTACAGTATTCTCGCCAAACTTTATATAAAGAATGCCGCTCTGGAAAAAGCATCACTCACGGTGAAGAAGATGGAGAGAAGGATTTCACTCGGAGATCGGGCTGCGTACTCATCCCTCCTTACTTTGCTCGCAGACATGGGAGCTAAAGACGGGGTTCATCGGATATGGAATAGGATGAGATCATGCATTCCAAAATTGAATGACAATGAATATGCTTGCATGATATCTGCGGTTGCAAAGTTTGGGGAAATGGAAGAAGCTGAGAAGCTGTACACCGAATGGGAGCGGGTTTCTAAACCTCGCAATCCTAGCATGGCAGACATACTTGTTGCTGCTTACGTAAACAATGGCGCAATGGAGAGAGCAGAGAACATCTACAAACGAGTTGTAAAGAATGGGGTCACTCCTCGTTACACTACTTGGAGGCATCTGACACGGGGTTATCTGAAAGAGAAGCAATTGGATAAAGCTCTTTATTATCTGTACATGGCTATTGCCGGTGTAGAAAAATGCGTTTTTGACCGAGAGTTAATTGTAGAAGTATTTAAGAACCTAGAGGAAAGTGGAAACGTCGTAGGTGCAGAGGAACTTCTTGTTGTTATGCGGAATGCTGGCCATGTCAATACCGAGGTCTATAATTCGCTTCTCCGGACTTATGCCAAAGCCAGTCTAAGGCCACTCTTTGTTGCGGAGCGGATGGAGAAAGATAATGTTCGGATGGATGATGAGACGTCAAAGCTTCTGTTAGGAGCTAGCAAATTGCACTGACCGCATCGAAAGTTTTCCTGAGACAGTTTGAGGATTATTCTGGAACGAATGGAGGAAATGTCCTCGTGTGTGAAGGTGGATGATCAAGGACCTTGATTATCATGGCAAATTGGATCGCATTTGCCATGTGATCGAATGTATATACAACCATTTCTTGGAATTACAAGAAATGTCTGGTCATCCGGCCTTTCGATTGCAAATAATCAAGGCAATGAACTGAGTTTCTCGGTTCAGAATCAAATATCACTTGGGTGAGCACCTTCATTTCAAAGTCGTCTTTCTATCGAGTCCTCTCCGATCTTTTAGAGCCTCCATCCATCCCTCGCGAGCAGCCCCGGTCACTGCTAGCCATATTTGCATTTTGCTTAGATTGACAAAAGCATTGGGAAGTTTTCTTTCTTTTTCTCTTTTCCTCCCTCTGTACCGGCCTCGAAGAAGAGAAAGGAGATAAACTTCAAATTTCATTAAATGCCAAACGAGACAGAGATCATTTGAATATGAACAGTTTATAGAGTGTCTGCAGATGGGCAAATTTCGGTAGACACTAGACGAAATAGCTCGAGTTGTTAGCTTTGTCGACCAGACGATCAAACTTAGGTATGTGTACTCAGTCGCGGACTGGTGGGGTCTTGCATTGGTTTTCTCTGCCCCACCTCTGTTTTTCAATATGCTGACTAGGTAAATGCCTCTGAAATCACGGTTGAGACGAGGGCCTCAGTTTCCGAGTTTTCCTGTGCAGATTGGGGTTTTAGCGGTGATATCGGCATTAAACAAACACCGAGATTCAAGAATCAGACATGGTACGATCATAAAACAAAGGACTACGTGTGATCAAGAAATCCGGTGAAAGTTCAAATCCTGAAAATCAATAAGTGTCCGAATATTTGAAGGAAAATTATTTTCGGAAATAATTTTCGGATGTGCTGAAAATAACAAGTTTAGATTGGGGGAAAATAACTTTCCTTGTTGACAGGCAGTTTGTTCTTCATTTAAATTGATCAAGCACCGGCCATTCATCATCCCTGGTCCCCTCCGGTTACTCAAGTGGTTACTAGCATTGGACGCAATGGACAGGCCTGTGTGCATCATCGGATTCCATATCGAACATCATCTTCATCTGTGAAACAAATGGAGGAAAGAGAGAGACCCTTGCAAGTATCAGCCTCAAACTTACTTCGAATCCCAATAATTGAATGTCGCAACTCACAAGAATCATAGGTATCGTAGTGGGATTAATAGGTGCGGTGTATTTTTGCAGTTAGTGTTTGCCAAGGCCACCTCTGTTTTCACATGCTTATATTATCTAAGTTTGAGAATAGTTTAGTGTGTTCTTTTCTACTTTCGCTTGCATATTCTGAAGCTACTTGATTCGGCAGAGTGGTTTGATGTAGAATCAGTTGATGAATGAAGACATTAGGTGAGTAACATTCCTTCTGGAACCAAAACTGAACAAAGTTTTCAGAGTGATTGCATAGACAGTAGACTAGCATCACCATTATATTCGGTTAAAGACAAGTCATTCACATTCGAATTAGGGTTATTTACATAGCATGATTTCCTAGTGGCACACCCTTTAGGAGGTTGCACTCGATAGAATTCAAGCTAGACATCTCATGGTTCACGGGGTAAATTGGTCGATAGTTTAATTCAAAATGCTACAAATAGGTTATTCGATTCTAGGGGATGGTTGATTTGATTGATAACTATAGCGAAATTGAAATTCACCTCACCAAACATGGGTTCTATCCACCTTTCAGATTCGGAGTCTTTCTTGTCTTCAGACAATTAGGTTGGGAGCCAAATGAGGGTACTGGGTCACCTTACTTTAGCAAAGAACGATAGGCTAGGTCCTTGAATATTTCATCATTCACCTCTATGAAACCTTCGAAGATCGAGGTTGGTGAGGCCGGTGAACGGTTAACACAAGAAGTTTTTCTATTTCAAGTCATGTTAGAAATTCAAGAATAATGGTAACCGCAGATTAATGTACAAGGGCTTACTTCAATGATTGAAAGTAGAAAAATCTATCTTCTGCAGGACACGTGTAGAAAACATATGAGATCTGAGGCACCCACTTCTCTCCTAAACTTGCTTAATGTGGTGAGCGCTGGTGGGGTGGTTAAGAAGAAAAGAGGCATTTATCAATGAATGCATCATCTCTCTGCGTACATCACATCTGCATCACCAAACCACTTTTCTATGATTATGAACCCCCCAACTAATAAATTCAAGTGAATGGATCTGCGCATGTGAGTTAGCAGACTACACGTTCGATTCTCGACACTATCGAGCACATACAATTCCATGTTTCAATCGTTCATTCAAAGTTAGCTCACGTCGTGATTTCTCCACGCGACGGGATGTATCATACATGCGCGGCTTAGCTCTTATGGCGAGTCCCTTGTCAGATAAAACAAGAAATATTCCCACATAAAAGAACGTACAGATGTAGAACTGGGTTGATGTTATTTGGAGTAGCCAAGGGCTCACGCGAAGAAGAGTAGGAGGGAGAATTGATACGAAGGGGTTTACCGAACCCAACCTCTCAACCCAACCCAATCCGACGAGAATGTAAAATTAATCACATGATATCTTTCTTTGTCGTTAACTACTCTTATGTGGTTGTGTGCTTTTGTCTTTTTGAAGTCGAATTCTAAAACCTCGTAGAAAGAAGCCTCTAAGTAGAAAGACATGTTTAGTTAAGTTGCAGGTTAGACATTGGAGGGGCCTTTAAAAACAGGACTCTTTCCTTTCTCAAACATCTTCGTGAAGAAACCAGTCGCCTCTCTCTCTCTCTCTCTCGCGCACGCGCGGAGACACGCACACAGTCTTGTGAAATATATATGGCTGAAGATGGCGGAGTCGTGTTCGAAGACGAACGCATGACTTGGCTTCCATCTCATGTCCTAGACGAAACCTGCCAAGCCAAGGTCTCATCCGGTTAACTCATTTTCTCCCCTCTCTCTCTCTCTGAAGCTCCATTTTTCTCCTTTTAGGTAAGTCAAGAATGAAAAGCATAAAAGGGAAGGTTCACACTTTTACTTTCTTGCAGATATATTTGACGAATCAACAGAACCAGCAACGACACAGTCCTCCTGTCCAAGTGCAAGCGGTGGAGCCGGAGCCTCTTCGACGGGTACGTGGTAAAATCCTTCTGTGTTCTGCGGATGTTCAGTTCATCAAACTCCTTCCTTTTGTTACTCTTTTTCGGTTCAAATGAATATTTAGTGCAGCATTGTAGCTCACCATCATCATTGCTGTATAACCCAGCACTTGTTTCAGTCGCTTGGTGTGATTTTCTCCCTTCTTTATCACTGCAAAACTCATTCTACATATTGAAATGAACATGTATATATAGGAATCTGTTTTCTTATCAAAAATCAAAATAATGTTATAGAATGATCGGTGCTCTTCAAAATGTCTTAGCTCTTGATCATATCTGGGTTCAGCTTTCCACTGTCCTTAGCTGCCTTATCCCATCAACATTTGCTAAATCTAATACAAAGTGAAGCCTGCAAATTATTTACAGATTGAGGTAATCGATAGAAAGGTTCAGTTAATTCAGTTAGAATAAACTAACAATAGCGTATTTGCATTTCTTATCAATGCATTGAATTTACCAATTTTTTTAGAAATTACCGACCTTAATTAGATAGACTTGCTAACTTTTCTCGAATTAAATTTACCCACTAGTTTTTCGTTACCGACTTTTATACAAGTTACTTAGAAAACCTAGTTCTCTTCTATTTGACAATATTTTTTTTAATTTTTTACCGACTTTTTATTTACCCTTCTTAACAAAACATAAATTGAAAGATTCTTCTATGAAATTACTAGCTTCGATTTAAGTGATTTATCAACTTTTCTCGGTATATTATCAATCAATTATGAGTTGTCAACTCCTGCTTGAGTTAGTTACCGACGTTTATTTGATTTTCTTTGTAATTACCATAAAACTAATAAGTAGTTGCTTGGTGTCTTACCTTGATGGCTAGTATGGTAAGTGGGATTTGCTTATTGTGTTACTTTGATTTAGGTTAGAGTTAATAAATTCGAGACGTTACTATGTAGCTTATATAAATAAAACTAGGTAAGTTAGAAGGAAAATTGTTATTTTGTAAACTATAAGAAAAAATTCGGTAATTAAATATAAAAGTATCGGTAAGTTACCAACAAGTTGTCTGAAAAAAAAAAAAAAAAAGTTTACTCGTTTGTTTTCTTAACAATTATTGAATAATTACGACCACTAATTGAAATTTCCCTTCTGCTCCTTTGTTAACTTGCGATAATTTATCAAACTAGTAACTTGATGATTGAAATAAAGAAAGTTATTCTGATTAATTATCAGAAAACGAAGCATACAGCGAGGTCTCATATTAGGCCCAAATATCTGTGTTCAAATTGGGTTCCTGGAGGACATGGGATGCAAGCAATCTTCCTGGATTCGGGTCGGAGGTCCGAGGGCACCGGCGTTTTCCTTCCACAAACACCAAGTGCGAATACCCGGCCCGGCTGCAAGAAGCCAGGTAAAACATATTTGAAATTTCAAGAATTTCAAGATCACACACACATGTATATAATTATATATAACTTATATATGTCGATAAATACGTCTATTTATCTAAACCAGAACACCCCTTTGACTCACTTTTGTATTCGCACATAGCCCTTATGGACAGTAATTTCTAATTGTAAAGTAAAGATGAAAGATGGGTGCAATTTATCCCAAGATAAAGAAATTAACTACTCACTTTCTACGAAGAAATCGCACTTTGTAAAGCTACTTAATTGTCATTTGTAAGTATGTGCACGTGTTGCGTGTGATCAAGAAATGAGCATTTACAAGAGCATATAAAACCATCTTATCATGAGATATAATAGAAGGATGGTATCGATCGATGACAATGTGTTGAATTTATGGCTCAAAGTTGTAAAATTTGGAGGTTGGGTTGAGCCTAGAGAGAGACGAGACGAGACGAGTTGAAGACGTGGTCGGAGGTGCCCATGGGGTGAGGAGGTAGGGGACCGACCACCCGGGCTTCCACCCAGGTGCGCCCGGTAGCTTGTAGCATTGGGCATCGAGTGGCCTCCCGTACATTCAAGGTCGGGAGCTTGGCTAGGCTGGGTGGGTTTCTTGAATAATTAAGTTATTGTAATGCCGTGATTCTCCGAATACATTGGTGAGTTTCTTTAAGACCGGCTCTCCTTACGGAGTAGGTACCTATACTCAGATCGATTCCCATAAATATATAGTGTTCTTTATCGTTCATCCTCGATTCTTTTGATTATTTCTTCTTCGTATCGCGTTAGAGTTGAACGTATGATCCGTTAGCTCCCACGTTATTAAAATTGAAAACAGACTAAACGATCTCTGGTAACAAAGTTCAATGCATTGCAATCCACCATTGCAGCTTGTGCGCCGGTCCTCCTACCTCCTCGAGTCATTCAAGCGCTCAACCTCAACGTGCAAGCCCTTGGCTTGCAAATTTCTCGAAGACCAGGTTTTAATTTTGCGCTATTTTTTTTTTCCTTTGGAAGAATTTTAAACTTTTTTTTCTGTTTTTTTGCTATGTGTCATTTTTATTTTTTTTGTCTGAAAATTTTCATTTATTGTCAGATACCAAAGAAAAACCCAACAGCGTGGAATGCAGCCTGGTGAAGAATCAAGATGGAAAGGATGCAACCCAACGTTGTCTTGTATTACAGAGCCAAAGCTCCTCCTCCTCCTCCTCCTCCTCCTCCTCAGAAGATTTACTTCTTCCCAAAGAATGGACCTACTGATAGATCTCTCGTGAAACTTCGAAGAAGATTCATTTTTTTTTTGTTACCTCCAAATCGATCATAAAAGAGATGGCCCGTGGCTTCGTTTGAGATTTTTTGGCGCAATTATCTGTAGTTCATAAGAGGTTCCGAAGCACGGTGCACCGCAAAATTTGATTATCTCGAGGATGTGGCTTTCTGTACGACCTTAACTCGACATCACCTTCCTTTCCAAGAGCATGAGTTGAGACATGGAATAGTTTGGATCGACACGGGGTGTACACGACTTATTATGTGTGTGTGTGGCACAACTGACTTTGCATTTGGATCGCTTTCTTTTGTTTGTTGATATGTGATTGAAAACGTTTTGCGGCGTTTGGATCTCATTTGAGAAAATGAGAAAATGACAATCTTCTCGCTCCGTCCATGAACACGCTAGTGACTCGGCCCTCTCGGCTCAGCCATGACTCACCTCCCCGCTCAGCCCAAAACCTCCGCTCCGTCCAGCGGAAACCTACCTCCGACACTCGAGAATTGAATCCAATTCTTTTCATTATTTTCGTATCTATAATAGTGCTCCTTCACCAGGAAATAGCCAATATGTTTAACATGTTATTTAAGGACGTGTTTGTTTCGACGAAAAAAATCATTTTTCAGAAAAATATTTTCCTCTTTTTAGATTAGATAATTTATTTTCCTAATTTTAAGCATGTAAAATTTTTTTGACCGTAAATAGATAATTTTCAGTTAGCCAAACACGTGAAAGTCTATAAAACTAATTCGCAAAAACAAAAAATTCACTCAAACAAACACACCTTAAGGCTTAAGTGTGAAACATCCCCATTTCAATGATATGTAAAATCGGATATAATCTTTTTCATGATAGTTGGAGACTTACACTATTTCTCTTTAATTGACAAAGTTCGAATTGGAAGTCATAAACAAAAATAATAAAATAACTTATTGAGTATCGAGTAAGAAAACACGAAACGGCATCGTATATGTGACTATCCTTTCTTTGCCTCGCGGGTTTTTCTTCTTTCATGAGCACGAACTGCGAAGTGTGTCCGCCGAGTAAAAGCTAAAGCTCGCCGGCCATGGAGGCAACGCTTCTCAGCCCGAGCTTCTTCCATTGCGGACCTTTCGCCGTCAGACGCAGTTTCTCCCGAGGTTCGTCTCTCGCTCACGGCCTCTCACGAGGCTTGGGAGTTTTCCATTTATGGTGATTGGTGATTTAGTTTCGCGCGTGCCTCCAAGGCAGTGTTGTGCGTTTTGCATTGCTGTTTTTCTGGAATTCGACCATTTGGTCATCGTAATTTGTTCATTGAGATGACTGATTGATACCCTTTTCTGGGATTGGGATGTTTTTTTTTCTTCTGTTGTTTACCTTTCGTGAGTGATTTTTGCGGTTGAGATACATGATGGAAATGGTACTTGATGTAGTCGAATCAGGATGTTCGGCTCTGTAATTGTAGCTGCAAGATTGAGCCACTTCATATATCGTGGTATTGGTGAGACCTGTTTCCTCAATTTCAAAGAAAATTTTCGTTTTGTACCGGGACAAATTCTCCTACTGAGAGGAACCGTGTGATTCGAGGGCCATGTGTTAAAATAAGATTTACTGCCGAGGTGATTTTACGTGGTTAATCTGCAAGAGTTTTCGTGTTTATATTGTGTCTCAAGTAAGAGCAGTAATGGGGAAAGCAGTGATCATAGGACTAAAGAGGCTCAGAATATTCGTTTTCATGTTCTCGTCTTTCAACAAGTTTCACCGGAAGCTTACACTGTGTCTGTTGTTTGGAAATCTTGGGTATATAATTCACTTCTTTTGCTTGTTCGTTGCACGCATGCTCATTGTCATGTGTTTGTCGTACATTAAGCTTTTCTTTTTCTTTTCCAATTAACTTGATAAAAGAGAAAAAAACAAGCTTTATTGGTCAGTCTCTTACCTGATACTCAGGTCCGGAGAGGGAAGGAATTCTATCTAATAGTACTCTGTGTGAGGGAACTCGGTTATCCCTGAAGACAACTTATTCGCAACCCGGCAGTGGACACCTGCTGCTGAACAACCGGCATTTTCCCTCGAGAGCAAAGCAAAAGTTCTCCGTTTACTGTTCAACTAGTAATAAAAACGAGTACCTGAATGACCAGGCTGCATCTTTGCACTCTCTGACCCTTGAAGCTGTTCCAGTGCGATCGGAAGCAGGAGAAGAGTCTCCCAATCTTCACGATCTGAGTAGCTCCAGGATTCTTCAAACAAAACCTAAAGCATTTAGAAATAGATTTTTGAACTTCGTCCGTCTAAGTTCTGTCCTCAATAATGCTGCTGAATATTTTTTTAAGAGCGAGATGCGAAGAAGATTATTTGTGACGGCAGCATTGCTTATAATAAGTCGTGTCGGCTATTTCATTCCTTTGCCCGGATTTGACAGACGAGCGATGCCTCAAGATTATCTCAGCTTTGTGTCAGGATCCGTTGGTAAGCTGCACGACTATTATGATGCTTTTTCACATTAAATTTTTTCTTTAATGCTTATTCCACGGGTAATTGCAGGGAGATTCATATATTGGTACAGAGTAATATTTCTTGCTTATACATTGATAATGCAAGGTCCCGTCCTTTTATTCACTTACAAAAACTTACAAAAAGCTTATAGTGCCTTGTAGGCATAGTAAAACTTGTATCATGGTCTCATATTTCTTACCAATGAGGAAATCTTATGGTTTGAGCAGTCCATGATGGGTGTCATTTTGTTGTTGGCAGATGAACTTGGTGATTTGACAACCGAGCTTAAGTTGTCATTTTTCCAGCTTGGGATCAGTCCCCAGATAGTAGCATCCATTCTTATGCAGGTGCACCAATTTCCTAAAGCTCTTCTTCATTCTTTTGCTTCATGACGCATTAAGTACATTGTATGCATTCTTTAGTTGATAGAGCATCTATTCAAATGTGTTATCACAAAGCCTTCTCTAAGCGTTGCCTCTATGTGTGTCATCTAGGATTGTAAATTGCTAAAATCGGACTCTTCTCAGTGCAAGAACATGATTTTGTGCTTTCTCCACAAAAGAAGCAAAACATATGTGCATTAATTTATAGTCCAATTTAAATATTTAAGAAATATTTTTTGTTTTAGCATAATAACACAATTTAAAGTGTTATCCATATTAGTTAGTAGACTAAAGTATTTTTTATGCATTTCAGAGATAGTATAATATTTATGATGTATAGTATATTATATTTGTATTATCCTTGTGAACTTTTATTTTTACACTAATCGGTTGATTTGTACTTTCATGCTCAATTTTAATTATATTTTAATATGACAATCCGCGCAAAGTTCAGGTAAATGTCTAGTTTTTATGGCATGAATCCACATCCCTCTTGAGAGGAGAAAATCTTTTCTTATTCTTTCTTCGTTTTCTTCGTTTTTTTAAAGTGTAAGAGAAAATAACTACGGAACAGTTTCTTGGTTAGAGCTTCTATGTATAGATGGTCGGCTGATTGTTACCTCACATATAATAGGTCATGCGCATATATGTTCTAAATACATATATGAACACATATATCTCCATGCTAAGCTATAGCGAATTTGCAGGTGCTATGTCATGTTGTTCCCTCCTTGGTAAAGCTGCGGAAAGAAGGCTTAGATGGCCACGAGAAGATTAAGAGTTATATGTGAGTCTAGTTATTCGTTTTTGCAGTGAGACAAGTTCTTGATAAATTGTTCTAAGCGGTCTCTTTTTACTTGGAGTCTTCTTCTTCATTTCTCTGTTACAGATGGTGGATCTCCCTTGGTTTTGCAATACTGGAGGGTATCATTGTGTCTTGTTATTCTCTGCCATATTCAATTTATGCAACCACTAGCAGGTTAGGTTATGAGATAGCACAGAATATATCTCTTCCTCTCTTATTCGTTGTGAAAATTTTTTGCATGCTATTGGCATTAAGAATTTCAGTGAAAGGTGATAGGATATTATCTATCAATGTGACTTCCCTCACAAAAATAAATAATGGTCTTCGCAGGGTCAAGCATGTTATGGTGACTACTCTTTTATTGGTCTGCGGTGCAATGACCATGACTTGGATATGTGACACTGTATCAGAGTCGGGATTTGGTACTGTTTTTCTTGCTGAGCCATATTTTTCTACTTTCACTACTTCTGTCTTGGCCTTTCTCTTTTCGAATCAAACTGTTTATGATGCTGTTGTAGTCAAAAGAATTACTAATTTCTCTAATCATGTGTCTATTTATTCAAATCTTGTGGTGTTCCTCTGTATATGTTTTCTCTAACTCCATATTTTGTATCGAATTCTTATGTATCGTTTTGATAAATGGTCAAACCATGCACTTTGAACTTTTAGGCAAGGAAATTTGTGTGGTTAGGAAGGCTCTGAAATTCAAGTCTCAAAGCTTGGATTTGGAGACAAAAATAGGATCTGAATTCAGCACTGGTGAAATGAAAATTTTAAAAAATCGGACTCATCATGCTATCCAGGTGCTGGGGGAGCATCTGATATAAACAGGAGAGGCAAATTGTGTCATCCGGGAAAGTTGAAGAGGATATAATCTGAGCCTACCATGGATAGAGAAATTCCGCCTGATTTATGACCAATAACAAGTTGTCTTGAAAACCATCTCCACTAAATGCAAAGGAACCTATGTTCACCTCTTCTATTATAGTTACCCCACTTGATACCGAACATCTGTTCTTCCTTCTAGGTAGAACAAGTCATTGGTTTCATCTATTTCTTTTTTGCTCCCTCTTTCAAGATAGCAACAATGAAAATGCCTAGATGAACTACTATTAGTTCCCTCAAAGGAGCAACTAGTCGGGCAAGTCCCGAGGCCTTATATCATAAGAGATTTGACCACTTCCAGATTTCTTCAGTCATTCTTTCTCTAAAACAACTTTCTGCACATTTTTATGGAGTTTCCCAACACCACACTAAGTCATGCTCTCCGTCTAATATGTGCTCGTGTCTAGAGAAATTTGCAGATATAGATCATTGTGATGACATGTTGGCAGATGGATGACTATTTACATTGTTTTTAGAACAGCAGTTGTTTTTGTGTTCTGCAACTAATAGGTTATGCATGCTTCAGGTCAAGGATCATCTCTGATTATATGCTTGGGAATATTAACTGGTTACAAAGACACCTTGCTCAAGGTGTTATCTAAGCTCTCAGGTATACTATAGCTCAAGGATCTGCTGCTCATTATGTGGTGCAATTCTGTTGAATCCTCATTTTTTCACTCTTGCAGTAGAAATGTGCCTTCTAATTTTAAGAGCTTTGTGCCATGAGAATTTCCTCAGTATGTCTCGTGTCTGCTTTGGACTTTCTTTCTGAAGCAGTTGAGTTCTGGACAAGTTTATACTGGCTTTGCATTTTTTCCCTTCGAATCACCTGATATTTCCAGAGACTGCTTGACCCTCATTCGACAAACTTGCTTTGAACAAAATAGATTTATCCCGTTGTTATAATCATATTAAAAGTATGCAGATGGGACAGCAAAAGTAGTTAACATGGGAAAAGGTGAAGTAACCTTGCAAGTTTACTTTAGCTTGTTCAGAGGCATTTCCTTCCAAAGAAATATAAAGTTCCCACCCCCAAGGATGTAAAAGCAATTAAGTAACTTCTAGAAATGTAACCTTGTTTAGTATGCTAATGAATAATCTAGATTCAAATTTGTTTATTGCATGTCATATCTAGGTTAAAATGTTGGTAAAAGTAGGATACAGGAAATTCAATAGAACCTTCGCCTTTGGTGAAGCTCTAAGTGAGCAGTTAGAAGTCACATTGACGTTTTTTTTACTGTTACCGCAGTGCAGCTTTCTGAAAACTCAATTTGATCATTGTAGGAAGTGCTGTGAGTTGGTGGCCTTATGTGCTCGCAGTTTTGGGTGTTTTCACTACAGTCACTATGTGGGCAGTTGTTGTGACAGAGGGCTGCAGAAAGATTAAGCTGCAGTACTATGGTTTTAAACTTGCATCCTCAGCAAGGTATTGCATTGCAGATGTTTTGCTTCCTTATCTGATATCTTCTTGTATGCACTCAAGACACAAAATAATGGAAACATGCATCTCCACAAGTAAACACACTCACTGCTCGTGAGGTTATGCTCCCATTGTGCTATTTAAGGTGATCATCAGTGCTGTACTTATATAGGCTGGGGGATGTAATTCAATAGCATTTTTTATCCTGACATTTATTAACATTTGGTCCAGGTGACCTTTCATATAAGAATTCCTAGTTTTTATTTTTGTCATCACTTTTTTTTAAGTTCAACTGGTCACAAGATTGAGATGGTTTGGTCTTTTCGTTTTCCTGTTTTAAGCAGAGGTGAATCACCGATCACAGAAGTGGAGCCCTATATCCCCTTCAACATCAATCCATCCGGAATGCAGCCTGTTCTGACCACTTCATATCTCTTGGCATTTCCCAGCATTCTTGCAAGGTTATAAAATGATTGCAAGTTCTCATTTATGTAATTGCCTAGTTCTGATTACCACTGTTTGACATCAAGATAGCCGAACTATTGTCTTCCTCTGGTTTTATTCTTCATCCATTGTGGAATAGTCAAGACTGAAGGGGAAAGATTGGGGCTTCTGTTTATGTTTGGTTTCCTATTTTAGGGGGTGATGGCGGTGGAAGAGATTGTGCTGTATTTCTCTTTGCCAAATGTTCTTGGGGCGGTTAAACTTTTTTTTATGAATTTACTTTCATACCTACAATGACCGATTGAATACACTTATCTCTGGGGCAGATGACTTGTTTTTATACAATTCATGGAAATTGTTTCTTACATGGAGCCTGATTTACAGTATCCTGGGTTCACCTTTCTGGGAGCGTGTCAAGCAGATTTTGAACCCTGAAAATTCAATTGGTGCTGAGCCGTGGGTTTACTATTCGATATATGCTTTTTTCGTCTTCTTGTTCAACATATTTGACATTGTAAGTATCATGCACTTTTGTGTTTTCAGTCGAATATTTTGCATATCCGCTTCCTTGTTCTCTCCTTTAATCTTTCAGTTCTTGCTATTTTTCTGTTCCAGTCTTGAGTAAGACAAGATGCGGTAGTTCATATTGTGTGCTTGGAGGATCTATCGCGTCCTTTTCTTCATTGGAAAAAGGAGGAATTAACTGAGTCAAGATACTTGCTAGCTACTTGGGCTCGAAGAATTATTTACATTTATTATATAAATGATAGAGGCTGTTTTGTCAATATAGTTTTCTCTCACTCAACTCAAGCAGAAGGCTACATTTTAAACTTTTGATATATAATATGCTTAAATGTCAGATGAGTAGTCATCTGAACAAGTTAAATCTCATCATGGATTGACCAATTTAAGCTCAAGAAAAAAATTAAATTGGTTACTGACTGAAACATTTAATGATGTAGGTTAATTGGAAAGAAGATATCATTTTGATTGGATGGGTAGACCTTATGGCTACTTCTTATATTTGGTGTATGTGTATAAAGTTAATTACACTGTAAAAGTTTTGACTTGCAAGGATGAGTCTGTTTCGTACCCTGGATACACTGCACAGTCTGAAAAGGGAAGACGAAGAACTTACGCTTTTTGATATTGTCTGTAAATTGTATATGTATTCTTTGCGTGTATTGGGCCGATATGATTTTTCGAAACCGGCACTCTGTGTTATTACATAAGTATATGATTGTTTTCTTTATTGGGGACAAGTGTTGGTAACAAAATAACTTCTGCAGGCCAACTTGCCAAAGGAAATCGCTGATTACTTAAATAAGATGGGTGCTCGAATACCAAATATTAAGCCTGGGAAGGCTACCATTGAATACCTTACAAAGATCCAAGCATCGTCTCGTTTTTGGGGTATGAACTAATTTTGTCTCAATTTCTTTTAGCTGACCTTGGTCTCCTGCAGATATTAGTGCTAACTATAGAAATCACTTCTGCGTACTTCTGTTTGTTTGACCTTTGAGTTAATTCTCATGGCTTGCAGGTGGTTTATTGTTATGTATTCTAGCAACTACATCCAGCATTTTGGATCACTACTTACGCCGTATCAATGAAGGATTCGCAATCGGGTTGACATCTGTGTTAATCATTGTAAGTAGAAAACTTTCTCGAAGCCGGACCGTAGTAACTATAGTTTTGTTTAGTATGTGGCATTCCTACCTTTTCATTTTATTATTGTCAGATCAAACCAATGCTTCTCTTCCATTTTAGTCCTCCCTGTGCATTAGCAGACTTGCTTAGCTTCATTAGAAAGGGCCAGCTAATATATTGACTTTATTCAATGGAACCTTATAAATTTTGTTCCACTCATCTAGTTGTTGCATACGTAACTTGGTGCTTCAAGCAATATAGTGAAAATAAGACTTGTACCGTCACAACTTGAAGAGATTAAGCTGCTATCTTTGGCACCCTAAGTCCGTTGGTAAATGACCTACTGCTTTATGAAGCTTCTGGATTCTCAATTTTCTATGTTCTCGTTTCTTTTAGCTAGTAGCTGATATGTCCATTGTGTTTCATTGTTATGGATCCCTGATGTAACTTAATCGGTATAGGTGGGTTCGATCATTGAGTTAAGAAGGTCCTACCAGGCATACAACGTAATGCCCAGTTTAAGCAAAGCTCTTAGACGATATGGTGTATGACATTATCAGAGGAGAGGAAGTCTCTGTTTCAAGTTAGTGACGGTGTTCTTTCTGTCAATTTAACATCCTGGACTCTGGCATAATGTACCCCTTGATGCCTTGTGATCATTAAATCTCTTAATGCAGCACGGAGGGAACGTCGCAAGTTTTCTCATGAATATGGAAGAACCAACTACTTGGCTCTAATCATCCTATGTTCCCCTGTGTGTTCCGCTTGCTAATGATAAGGAGAAGGCTCCTGCAATGAGCGAAGTGCCGGTGCCCATTGAACCAACCGGCCTGCAAGAAACTGAAGATTGAAAACCAACCAAGCCTCATAATATTTATGAAGAGGGCATTGTCTTCAAGATGGTTTGATGACCCCCAAGCTTGTCAGTCTGGATGATTCCCCGGTCTGTGGTAACCCTGCATAGTTAGAGGTCGCTGCTCACCCCGTGTAAGGTCAAGCATCCAGAATCTTGTCGACGATAATCATCTGAGTGCTGTATAAGTGAGGGGCCTTCGGTACCTGGGGCGGTACTCTGATTTGCTTAGAGGTGTATATAACTGGACGTGTTGCTTGGTGCTTTCCCGCATCTTGCCTTCCTGCGAAAGGAAGTTGCATATTAACTTTTTGGTCGGCCTCTGTAGATGTTATCATCGGGTGTTTTGGCAATGTAATTCGTAAATTTATGTTTTATCATGGCTCATGAGCTAAAACTCCTCTCATCCCAATCACATGTGTAATCAACTCAATACTCTCCCTAAGTTGGTAGGTACATTCATGGTCTTGCTTGGTTCTCATTATGTCACGGCAGTATGTACTATGTAGGCTTTAAGCACATAATTATAGTAATCAATATATTGGAACGGCTTGCTCATAAAATTCTTTTAAAGAGTGTAAGTCAAACTCTATTATCTTGATTTTTTTTTTTTTTGATTATGTGAAAACTCTTTCCTCATATCCCCGATGTTAAGAAAATTATGAGGTGCAAATTCATAAAATAAAATAAAAACCATTAAAAAAAATACATATCCAATTTCTAACATGTCGCGTCGACAAAATTGATTGAGCGGTCGTCGATAGGAATTGATTGCAGCGATTTTAGAATCTCTAAAATTTAATAGCACTTTTGAATGCATATCCGGCCAAAACATTTAGGACTTTCGGTACAATTTTTTGATAATTATACTTTTTTTTACTTTAACTACTCGAAAGATTGTCTCAAAACCATAATAGAATCCATAAATAATCTCTTTCAGGGGGGGGCGATCGGGTCAAGGCATAAACAACGCCCGGGTCGGGCCCTCAGAAACGGGCTTTCGGGCCTGCTGGACGAGCAGGAGAACCATAAAGACGACACCTTTCCAGTTTCGCTCACTCTCTCTCCCTCTCGCCACCCTCCTCCTCGCCGGCGGCGACGCTCCGTCCGGCGAATCCCTCCGCATCCCGGCGCCGCAGAACCGAGGGCGTCCCGAGGAGGACCTCGAGAACGATCGGAGCGGACGGAAGAGGGAGAAGAAATGAAGTTCGAGATGGAGGACGTGACGGTCTACTTCCCGTACGACAACATCTACCCGGAGCAGTACTCGTACATGGTGGAGCTCAAGCGCGCCCTCGACGCCCGCGGCCACTGCCTCCTCGAGATGCCCACCGGCACCGGCAAGACCATCGCCCTCCTCTCCCTCATCACCAGCTACGTCCTGTCCAAGCCCCAGTCCCCTCTCAAGCTCATCTACTGCACCCGCACCGTCCACGAGATGGAGAAGACCCTCGCCGAGCTGAAGAAGCTCCACGACTACCAGGTCCAGCGCCTCGGCCCCGCCGCCAGGATCCTCGCCGTCGGGCTGTCGTCGCGGAAGAACCTGTGCGTGAACCCGAGGGTCCTGTCGGCGGAGAATCGCGACTCGGTGGACGCCGGGTGCAGGAAGCTCACCGCCAGCTGGGTTAGGGCTCTGGCCGAGAGGAACCCCAGCGTGCCCACCTGCGAGTTCTTCGAGGATTACGAGAGGGCCGGGTCCGGGGCGGTGTTGCCACCCGGAGTTTATACACTGCAGGTCTGCTCCTTGATCGGTTGGTTGGTTCCTGTCATTTGTGTTGAGATTGGCATTTTGTGATCTCGATTCTGGAATGATTGTAATTACGATTCTCTTGGCGTTTCTCTAGTGCTTTAGGATGTTTCTTGGTACCGGAGGTTGTGTTAAGCTTTTGTGTCTGACAAATGAGGAGGGCATTAGACTTTGAACTGACTGCGCGCCGATACCTCTTTAGATTTTAAGGAATCAAATTTTCATTTTGACGTGTTTATAATAGTTCAAGGTACAATTTTGGTATTAGGCCATTGTCTTTAGATGGTTCGTGCATTATGTCATAGGAAAATTGTTGAGGACAGTAACCGATTAATTAGTTGTTTCTTGTTTCATGAACAGAATATTGCGAATGCTTAATTCTTATCAACTTTTGCATTTTGTAATTTGTACTCTTTTTTTATTTGTCTGACAAATGCTCTGTAGACTTTGTTAACGGGTTTCATTTGATTTTTGCATCACGCACATATATTGAAATTGGCAATGAAAAGAAACCTTTTTTTCCCTATAGTCCTAGGAGATATAATTGGTATTGCTGGGAAAATGGAACAGGTGCCTTTCTGGTATTTGGCCTGCCTGCTATCTAATAATCTCCCCTAACTCTTACTTTATATATTGCGACATTGAGTTGAAGCTAAGCCGCATGCTGCTCTTGTGGCAGGATCTAAGGGCCTTTGGTAAACAGAAAGGATGGTGTCCATACTTCTTGGCACGGCATATGGTGCAATTTGCAAACGTTGTCGTGTATAGTTATCAGTACTTGCTTGACCCAAAGGTGGCTGGCATAATATCAAAGGAAATGCAGAGAGAATGTGTTGTGGTGTTTGATGAGGCACATAATATTGATAATGTATGTATTGAAGCTCTTAGTGTTTGTGTGAGGCGACAAACACTCGAAGGAGCTACAAGGAATCTTCATCGAATGGAGCAGGAGATTGACAGGTATGCACAACTTCTAGTATGTCAGGAGTAGTAGTAAATGTCTTTCCTTCAGTGGAATGTTAATAATTACAATCAGCTTTTAAAAGTTAAATCATCCATCTGGTTTCTCTCTCTCTCTCTGTCTCCTCCTCATTGTACATCATGAACAACTGGTTTCTGTGTGCTTATTTAAAGGATAAAAGATGTGTATTTTGACTGTTAGATTTATCGCCTTTGTGAAGAATATTGGTTGTTCTTGTTCACCTGCTAATAATTTGATGCATTGGTAGTCACAACTTTTGAAGTTTCACCATATCGTCACAATACTTTTTAATTACCCCCATCCACCTGAACTACTACAAAAATTCTCTTTGAGCACGTTATGATTTATGTTACGATTTTGAATAGCGATAATGAATAGATGGTGACAATTGATTGTCTATGCTCTGTGCAGTAGCAGTTGAGCTCTAGTTCTTGCATAAATTGCATATCTGTGAAAATATTGATAATTGGCTTTAGCTCAAAGTATTTATCTTGAGGGGGTTACTGCACTCATACAATGGGATCAATGTTGTTTTATTTATATGACAATTGTGTCCTTCACTGGAACTTTTAGCCTGATGATGCAATTAACTTTGGTTTCTCTTGAACTGTTTGATATGGTAGAAAGGTTCAAGGCCACAGATGAAAGTAGGTTGAGAGCAGAATATCAGAGGCTGGTTGAGGGTTTGGCATTGAGAGGAGACTTGCGAGGTACATGAGGATGCTAATCTATAAAGTGTAATTACAACCTCATTATTCAGCAATGATCTTGTTGTTTACGGCTTTTCCCTCCTTTTATGTAGTTAATGATACCTGGCTTGCAAATCCTGCCTTGCCTGATGATATTTTAAAGGAAGCAGTGCCAGGGAACATTCGTCGAGCAGATTTTTTCCTACGCGTCTTACGTAGATTTGTCCAATATCTGAAAGGTCGTCTAGAAACTGAGAATGTTGAGAAGGAAAGCCCTGTTACTTTTGTTGCCTCTGTTGCTAATCAAGCCGGAATCGACCAGAAAGCGTTAAAGTTTTGTTATGATCGCCTCCATTCTCTCATGCTGACTCTAGAAATAACTGATACAGATGAGTTTTTGCATATACAAACGATATGTGATTTTGCAACACTTGTGGGAACATATGCCCGTGGCTTTTCTATTATAATCGAGCCTTTTGACGAGAGAATGCCAGATGTCCGGGATCCTGTGCTGCAGGTTGGTTCTGTTCTTTTAATTTTCACCTTTCTTTTTCTTTTATGGGAGCGCAATTCTTGGCCAACTGCTATCATCCTGAAATAATGGTATTTGTTTACCCTTCCATGATACGTGAAATGTGTTGCTCAAAAGCCCTTTCAATTGTTTGAAGTTAAGTCAATTGCATGAGGCATCTTGGATGAACGATGTTTAATGACCATTTGTCTTCTAATTTGTCCTTTTTTACTAATGCATGACCTGCTAAGATGCCTTTTCTTCTTGGTGATTCGACATTATCGTTTTAGTAGGTTCTCAACCTTCTGGGCTGCTGCATATTTTGTCGTATATGACATGTTCTGCAGGATATTCTTGTGTTTTATGCAAGCACTTAATGATTCTTGCTCTCTTTTCTTTCTGCATATGTTAATCACATGGAAAATGTATTCTCTGTGCAATTGCAGCTTAGCTGCCATGATGCTTCTCTTGCCATAAAGCCTGTATTTGATCGATTCCAGACAGTCGTTATCACATCTGGAACTCTCAGCCCTATTGATCTATATCCTCGTCTTCTGAATTTTAATCCAGTTGTTAGTCGGAGTTTCACAATGTCCTTGACAAGAGACTGCATATGCCCGATGGTTCTTACTCGTGGAAGGTAGATGTGCCCTAATTTTAGTATTCATGTAATTCAGCGTAAAGGTTGAATGTACAAGTCTTTTGCCACTTTTCAATTTCAATTGATTTCTTTTATTCGCAGCATGTTTAATATTGTTCGATTATCTTTCAGTGATCAGTTACCAGTCAGCACAAAATTTGACATGAGAAGTGATCTTGGTGTTGTAAGAAACTACGGGAGGCTTTTACTGGAAATGGTCTCTGTTGTTCCCGATGGGATTGTGTGCTTTTTCGTTAGTTACTCATACATGGATGAAATTGTCAATAGTTGGAATGAAAGTGGGATTTTGAAGGTGAGTATATTGGTTACTTTCTTTTTTCTTGCTCCTGTTTCTCCAATTGTTATTTCTTATCCCATCCCTATTTGTTATATTGTGCTAAATCAGGTGAAATCTATAATCGTCTGTTCTGATGGTGGCAGGATATAATGCAACATAAGCTTGTCTTTATTGAGACACAGGATGTGGTGGAAACTACATTGGCTCTGGACAACTATCGCAGGGCTTGTGATTGCGGGAGAGGTGCTGTCTTTTTCTCTGTGGCCAGGTATTAGCCTCAGCAGAAGACAAGAGCATCAAATTTGACTATATTAGACGACCACAATCTCTGTTTGTTTGGCATTAACTTGAGGTTCCCTCTTTCGTGTGTTGGTTTTGCCTGCCTATTCACTGGCCTAGAAGGAGGTTGTTGGTGAAGTGTTACTAAAGTAGATTATCCTTTTCCTAAATACTGTTTTTCCCTATATTGCAGGGGAAAGGTAGCTGAAGGAATTGATTTTGATCGACATTATGGTAGATTAGTGATCATGTTTGGTGTTCCCTTCCAATACACACTGAGCAAGTGAGTTTCATTGTGATCCTTTTTTATTGTGACAAAATGCCTTTAACATCCATGGTCTAGTTGATGAATTGTATCATGAACTCTTAATGGTATTACAGAATTTTGCTAGCACGGTTGGAGTACCTTCGTGATACATTTCAAATAAAGGAGGGAGATTTTTTAACTTTCGATGCTTTGGTAAATCTCTTTATATTCTTATTCATTGAATCCTTCTTTGGTTGCAAAAATGCCATGTTAACCACTGATAACTGATTGAAACAGAGGCAAGCTGCTCAATGTGTGGGCCGAGTTATCCGGTCAAAGGCTGACTATGGCATGATGATTTTTGCCGACAAAAGGTTTTATAATCTTGTATCTCTTCTGGCTATGTAGTTTTAGTCTTTTATGAAGCTGGAGCTAGGCTTTAGGTTGTCTCTGTGTGATTGAGTCTTTAGAGTTTAGAGTAACCCGTAGCCTGTAGCTAATGGAGATTGTATTGCGTTCATCTTTTGCTTCTGCTGTTCTTTGCATTTTGATTTGATGGTAGTTACTAATTCTATCATCTTTCTCCGGCCTGGAAATTGAAACCTGTCAATTCTTGCAAAGCTCTCCTGTTTTTTGGCTCACTTTGATGTTAGCTGCGAGCGCGGAAATGCAAGGACATTTGAGCGTGATGCAACTAGCTCAGTGACACACCCATTTGATGACATTTATTTGAATCACGCAGGTATAGCCGTCATGACAAGCGCTCTAAATTGCCTGGGTGGATATTGTCCCATCTACGTGACGCCCATCTCAATTTGAGCACTGACATGGCTGTGTATATAGCAAGGGAGGTACAACTTCATTATTACTGGCACTCCTTTCTCGTGTCTCAAATGTGCACTTATCGTGCTTATTCCCCCCACCCCCATCCCAAAGACATAATAAATAAAAAGAGCAAATGAGAGATTGGCGACTCTGATGGATGAATTGTGTGCACCGGCTTACTCTCCTTGGTAAAAGGAAATTCAACCTGCAATAACAGCATCTTGCTTATTCCCTGGGGAAGCTCTAGGTTGTGTCAGATATAGATCATTAATTTATCTTGTTGCCAGCCGCCATGAACTTGGAGGATGCATTATGAAAGGATGTTAAAATGGATTGAAATCTTTAAAAGTTGGATGGAAAGTAGTTTCAATGTGCACTGTGCTTAATCCTACTTGACAGGGCGTTGCGTTGAGAGTATCTTCTTCATGTGTTATTGCAGTTCCTTCGGAAAATGGCACAACCATATGATAAAGCTGGGAGTGGTGGTAAGAAAACCCTTCTGTCGCAGGAAGACATAGAGAAGATGGGTGATGGCAGCTTGAACGAAATGTTGTATTGAGAGGTTATCGTCACCTGCTTTTTCGTTCCATGCATTCATTCCCTGTGATGGCAATCTTTGTTGAAGCATGTGGCCGTTGATGGTAATTTTTGAAGTCAATAGCATAAGTAACAGTTTGGAGAGAAATGAATTAACGGAGCTTCATTGCGCCTAAGAGATGGTTGAATGCTTTGGTGTCGAGGCAGAGATAGTCTTAGAGTTGCTTTTGTGTTCACCAGAGAGCATGGAAATATGTTGCGACTTGTTCTTGTGAGTTGCTAGGCTCACAAGATGTTTTTGCGTTTTCTGCCCGACTTGCTGGATCCGGGCACGTATCTTTTTTTTTTTCCTTTTTTGGGGCTGGGTCCGATGACTGCTTTTGTAGTCCAAACTTAAGGACGTTCACCAATTTGAATAGATAACTCGTATCTGCTTTGAATGACCAACTGGCTTATTTCTTTGCACAGGGATATTGCATTGCTTTTTATTTGCGTGTAAAATGTTACTTTCACACGAATTGGGAATGTGGACTTAATTGAGTTTGCAAAAGCTAGTCAGAGCATACCACTTCACCTCAATATCGAAAGCTAAACCAACAGGTTATTCATCGACACAATCCTTTCATTTTAACTGTGCTATATCATCGACAAGCACTTGAAAGAACTAACAGCAACATGGGTATCATCCGATTTCTATCTTGATTTCGCGTAGTGTAGTGATATAAAAACGTGATCGAGATCGAGATTTATCTCTTCATGATAGAACGACTATTAATTTTCGAAGAAGTCTGGATTGGCCATATGCTTGTTTTGGCATTTGAAGATTACAAAAATGGGCTGGTCGTTGCTCACAAATAGTCAACTGGACGTCGACATGGGGTGTATCTTGCCATTATTAGCACAGCGTTCGCTACAAATCTCTGAAGCGGAGCCATGAAAGTAGGGAAAATGGAAAGCCAAGAATAGTTAAAAAAACAAGTGCCGATGTAACAGACAGGATCGAATCTCGGATCATTGATAGGTTACTAATACTTACATCACTCGTGTGTAAATTTAACTAAAAATAAACTTAGATAACATTCATATTTATGATACACCGGCTAATGGGATGAAGGAAAACATACCAATTATGAAAATGTTAAACAGGTGAAAAAATAAACTTAGATAAGGTTTTAACGTTAAATGAGTATCTAAAGTTCAGACTTTAAAAGTTCAATAGAAGAAGCCAAAACCAACACATCCACTTGGCAAGGAAAGAAAAGAACACAGAAAACAAGGAAAGTTAAACTGAGAAAGATTGGTCACGGATGATCAATTCAAGCGCTACTGCTGCAACACGTGGCAAACACCCACTTCGCTCCCACCTCCCAGCTAACATGATCAACGGTTCTGATTGAGCTAAGCTCAGCTCAATCACTCACTGAAAAGGGTACTGCTCGTACCTCATCCCGCAGTCTCCCAGCACCGCCCGAGCTCCGATCCGGCTCGCGCACGTCCCGAGCATCGCCCCCTTCGCCGCCCCCAAGCACGTCCCGCAGTCGGACCTGGTCAGCTTCCGGCTGCACGTGGCGTGGCCGTAGGCGAACGCGTTCGGGTACGGCGAGATGTTGGCGTAGTCGTATCCCTCCCGGGCCGGCGTCGCCGCCACCAGGTCCGCCACGACGTACGCGACGCTGGCGGCGAAGGGGTCGCCGGCGGTGTATCCGGCGACGTTGCACAGCACCTGCTTCACCGTCGTGTCCGGCGCGCCCCGAGCGGCGGCGACGCCGAGAAGAAGAAGAAGCAGCAACGACGCGGCGACGATGGTGGGGGTCGGTTTTTTCAGCGGAGAGATCGCCATTTCCCAGCAATCTTTTACTGTTTCACGTCGATGGAAAGTAGCGGTGCTCGAGCTTTAACATTGGGCTCTCAGAAATTTCATTTGTTTGTTTTATTCGATCTTCACTTTTGTATTGGTCGGTTTTGTCTCGTCTGCTGTTCTAGAGGTTATGGCACATGTTTTCCTGTTGGACGCATCGGAAGATCCGCATCAGGTCACATCGTTCCTTCAAGAAGAAGAAGGCCAAAAGAAGAGGTGATCATCATGCCATTAACGAGCCCCTCGTTCTCTTTCAAAGAATTCATCAAATTCCGGATCGTAAATTTCGTGCGAGTGACAAGAGAGACGTGGGCCGGGAGCCGGTTTTGATTGACTTGTTTCCCCACGTCTTTTGTCGAGCACCGGACTCGAGTTCAATTTTTGGATGACTGCCTTCTAACTTCAACCATTAAGAAGTTTTATTAAGTGAAAACTGGGGTTAGACGCGGTGAATCTCGTGTTCGAATCATGGTCTTCTACTCAATGCAATCTTGATGGACGGGCCCCATCGCTCTAATGGGGGGAGAGTCTTACAGGATATATGCCTGCGGAGCAGCTTGTGGGCGCTCGTGGCAATTGGTCAAAATAGAAAAATTTTAGATATTCGTGTTTGTTTGTATTTTTTACAAAGGGGGGAAAATTAACATTTTGAGAGTGCATAAATTTACCGAGTAGGCACTACGAATACGAAGGTAAATTTGGTATACGTGGAATTTACACATATTGCATTGCAATGAAACGAAATGATATCCAGGCCAAAAAAAAAAAAAAAAATTGGACGTAAAAATGCGGTGAGCGTGGATCGAACACGCGACCTTCAGATCTTCAGTCTGACGCTCTCCCAACTGAGCTATCCCCGCAACTTTGTCATTGACTCTCCCCACAATTAAATTTATATACCATAATACGCATTACTTTATGTACTAAAGTTGCAGACCAATCTTGTAAAGTTGTAATGTAGTTACTTCTTATTGGGTGGTGAAGACATTTCTTGTTGGTCTTCTACTTGTACTGTGGGAAAACAATACTAAAAGTGCCCCCCAAATGTTTCCATGCCTAGAGAGTGGAACCTACGAGTCTCAATACTTTTTAATGTCGTGCTTAGCCACAATTAGGTTTAATTAGGAAGCAGCGCTCGGTCTAAATCAAACACTCTTTGGTCGTAAAATTCACTACTTGGAAAGTTCAACTTATCTCTCACGAAACTGAAGCAGACATGTCGACCAACCCCATCCAACCCCATAATCCTAGGCTATTTACTTAGATCCTGGCTGAGATCGCGACAGAGACTGACCAACAACTAGCCACTTCAGGTGGTTGGCACCGTAAAGTCCTAAAGTTCGTTTGTTTATGCACACCTCGGTTGACCCAAAAGAGAAGGATGGCGTAAGAAGAGAGAGGGTACAATAACGACAGCGAATGCTAGTATTATCTGAAGAAAAAGAGGCATAGAACACGAGGGACGAGTAAAATGCAGGTGCCCACCGAGGGATTTGCTGGGCATTAGGATAGCCCATGTTCTCAGATCAGACGAGGGAAAAGTGCCCATTAAAGAAGGAATTCAATTTTCACATTACATGGAGTAGTACCAAGTCGACATTGGTTTGAAAATTCAATGAGTACAAAACTTGGGTCCATTCGCATTAGTAAGAATACGATATAGGGAGTTGTTAGAGGATCAAAGAGTACAAAATTTTGAATGTCCGTTAAGAGACTCGAGACATCCCGCTAAAAAGAACGAAAAGACTTGTTCATTCACAAGATGTAGTAGTACCAGAGTGTAGCGAATGCGGTGATGCCGCTCAAGATACAAAGCCTATCTAACCTGTTCTCATTTCTCATCTTCTCCTCTTTCAACTCGCTCTGCACTTTCGAGTACAGGCGACACGACTCGAGAACTTCGCTGTAATTTTTGCTTCGGCGACAGCTCAGTGCTGCCTTCAGAATAAGCAAACTGTTTCTTCCATTGACGTGAGCGCTTTCCATGTCCTCCAGCTGCATGCTCAGCTCGGTCAACTTGAGTGTTGTGTGGACGCCTTCTCCTTCCATACGAGTCATCCTGAACTTCATAATCAGGACGCACTCGACCACCTGACAGGGAAGAATATCCTTTGCGGAAAGGACTGATCCAAAGCGAATCACGAAATCTTTGTCTGTGGGCCAGTGCCTTTGCCCGCCAAGTGGGCTCCAACTCGCAAGATTAGCAGCTTGCTTAGCTTTTCTGTTGACGATGATCCAACTGAGCCGGAGTCCATCACGAAGTTCTCGCCATAGCTTTCCATCTTTCCTCTCTCTCTCCATGGATGTAACCGGGGGTAGACCATCCAAAACCGAAAGAGTAACTTCATCATCACAATCATTGTCTCTAGATGATGGATAGGTGAGAAGATCGACCCGGAATGGACAATTGTAGAACCACCCATCGAAACCATTCGCATTAGGAATTCCCCACAGCACTTTCGAGCATACCGGTCGGTCTTTATACCTGATATCCACTAGAGAGACAAAATCCGAGGGTGATATACTCTCAGATTCATCCATATCCCCATAATATTCAGCCTCGGTCCATTCTTCAGGGTCCCCGAGATATTCATTCCGCTGATACTCAGTGACTTCTTTATTTACAATGAGGGGGAAACAATCCGCATAGAATTTCTTGAACCCTCCAATAGATGATATCAAGCTTTTGACATCCTCCTTATTGGTTGATGGCCACATGGATGAGCATACATTTTCCCATAATCTCTCTTCTCTTGAGATAGAACAAAATGCAGCACAAGCACATGCAGCACTAGCTAAGGTTGGACCATCGAGGCGCCTCAGTATGTCATAGAAAAGATCACTGCTCAAAGACGTCATACTCTCCGCTTGTGCAGTTGAAATCGCCATAACAGTTCTATTGTCTGATAACAAAAACACGTGTAAGTAATATGTAAACCCCACCCTTCTTTTATAAGTAAAAGCAATTCATACAGTGGCATCAAGGGGATGCCAACACATTAACAATATCATTTACTAGGTCAAGGAAAAACTACGCCACTGATGTACCCAAAATTCAAATTAACAAGAGAAGAATCCCTAATTTTTATAAAATCTTTCAGAAATATAAAAAGATCTCCAATTTCTCATCTTCCGGATCAGCAAATAATTTGCTAGAGGTCGCAAATCTGTCATCTTACTCTTCTCTTTACTAGCGCAAGCAACCAACCGTGCTCTTAGGTCTTTTTCCAGAGACTTTTGAAGTTACCCAACGAACACCCACTACTGACGAGATCAGATCCCGAAGCATCCTAGACCAGCCATATTGAATATCTACGCCAACTTTCTCAATTGAAAAGTTGAGCATTTACTTTCTACTGGCCCCTCACCAATAACTGTTCCATGAAGATAGCTGGTTATGACTCAAAAAGAATGGTACATTTATTCCGTTTGTGAACACATATAAAGGCATGAACAGTCAAAATTTGACTTTTTGGAACCGCCGGGAGGAAAAGAATTTTTACTTTTTCCGCTTTCAAATGTCAATCATTCATCCATGGCACCGACATAGTAGGACAAACATAGATGGACGATAGCTTCTTCAAAGCCCAATTCCAAAACTCTTAAGCATGTCTCGGCAAATAATAACTAAGTTATCAGTTCACACTAGTGAGGGAACTATTTCCTGCCACCCCTCATTCTACTATCATTTTTAGATCAAGTGCAAGCGCGCGCAGAATGCTAAGAGACTCTCCAAAGAAAGAAGAAGTCGATACTTTCCTCAAACCCCAATCTGAATCCGGGTACCTTGTTCAGTTTACTACTTCCACATCCCAAGTCACCAGATTAGTGATCCAGATAGCAAAAGCACAATTACTTAGCTTTACTCTAGAAGAAAAAATTTATGCGAACATAACGAAATTCCTCAAACTAAAGGACATAGAAAGATTCATATATGTATTCGAGCCAAATTTCCGGCAAAGAAACAAAGGCCACTACGCTACAAGCATGAATTGACCTGTAGAGAGTGATCAACTACCTTACTCAGTTCTCAACAAATGGTAAAATCCAGAAGAAAAAGGTGAGAATTACTATCGCTCTGAAGACTACCTAAGAACAAGAGGATGATCGGACAATGATTAATCAATCAGCAACAGCGAAATCAGCAACCATGTGAAGGCGACAGAGCGCTTCGGCCGCCGGCTCGGTCAGACCGGACCTCTATCGATCCAACCACAAGGATCAGAGCATTTCAACGACACGGCGATCACAACACAAGATACCAACACGACCCGCCTCCAGCAATTAGAACCAATTCAGGGCAAATCGGCAGATATAAATCCATCGAGCACGAAACCCAAATCGCAATTCACCATGCCAAATCCAGCAACACGACAATCCGACATACCAAATGGACCAAACGCGCAGAAAAATAAGAATAACACCGAAAAATAAGACCACCCATTTGCAAAAAAACTCGCACTTCAGACCGACAAACCACGGGACATCAACGAACGAACCTCACGACGAAGAAGAAGTAGAAGAAGCTCCTCTTCCCTGGTTCATGGCGCGCGCCCGCGAGGAACGACGGCAACCGGAAGACCGCCCGGCTACAAGCAGGCCTCGAAGGCGAAGAATCTCCCACAGATTTCCGATGCAATTGCCCAAGAAGAAGGAGAGGATGGCGTGACAGGGAATTTCGGGGCGAGGATATGTTGATCGGTTCGTGAGTCACTCTCTTCTTCTTCTTCTTCTTCTTCTCTGGGTGGTGCGATGCCAAGTCCGCATCTTTCCCAACTTCACTCCAAGATTTCGGATTATAATATAAGCCGGGCAATTTTCACTGCTGCCCCTTTCATTTTGTAGTTTGTACCCCCCACCTTTTCTTTTCTTTTCTTTTCGAGTCCCCAAGAAAGCTCCATACCTCATTTTCAGCCCCCTTGAATTTACTGTTTGTTTGTCGATTCCCACCCCTCCCTTTGAGCTCCCCCATCACGGATGGAGATTTAGCTCAAGATCTTAACCAGACGTACTTTATCGGTTAATTTATACGCCGCATTGGTATTCTCGAGTGCAAAAAAGAAAAAAATCATATGGGGAACTCATCTTTTTACGTGTCTAAATGGGTCGCTTTCTCTGTTTTCCCATAACTAGCTCGTCAAATTCGCCGCTTACCTAGTTTATTAATTTATGAAGAACATGCTTATGTATCTCGCTCAAAAACGAGCATGCGAGTGGCGCATCGCCATTTCGAGAGGTGGAAACAGTGAATGTGATCACGCAAGACGATGCGAATCCGACTATTTAGATTATGGAGGCCACGTGGGATTCGGCTAACCTCGGATAGATTCATTGCATCATCTATTGTCTCGATGCGGACACGTGGAAGGAAATGGTAGTACGCTAACCAATATTACGTACCAGTTGTTGGCTTACCTGCTACTATTATCACTCCCCAGGTCAACCGGCAAACACGAAGAAATGAAGAAAGGGATGTAAACAATTAAAACAAAAAATTAATGTCACGAAATACCCTAAACTGATGTAATTATGATAAATTTATCTCGAACCACCAAAAATCCCAAATCGATATACTTATAAAAAATTTACTCAAAATTAATTTTTTAACTACAAAAAATCACAAATTAGTGCACTTGTAATGAATTTACTCTTCGTTAAATTGGATTAATATCACGAAAAATAAAAAAAAATGGTAAATCTGTGACAAACAGAAGAGTAAAACCCCAAATTAGTATACCTGTCAACTACCACGTGTCATCTAACTTAGCAATTTGACAGTAAAATTTAACGGAAACTAACGGAGAGAGAATTTGTCACAGTTGTACCAGTTTGTGATTTTTTGTGGTCAAAACATTAGTTTGGGGTAAATTTATCACAGGTGTACTAATTTGAAACTTTTCGTGGTATTAACCCTTAAAAAAAATTAATTTCATGATAATCAATATGCTTCTTCTTTTTTTTTTTTTTGAAAGACAAGTAAAAATTTGGGGCGGACTTAGGTGACCTAGTCAAAGCATAGGAGGGCATTGTCACATGTCACCGCAGCTGCAACGTATGGAACAAATTGGTGGATGTGCAATCTGACCGATTCGTTTAGTCAGAAGATATTGTTTCTATAGGGTGATTGCTTGATTGCTAATAGACCCTTTTTCGTAACAATTTGCCAACTATATCATTGATTTAGTTATGCTGATAATATATACTTGATATTAATGCTGCGTTTGGTCGTCTGAATTTCTAGTCAGGATAGGACTAGATAGGATAGGATAAGAAATCCATGGATTTTGTTGTATCCTATCTACTGTTTGGTGAACTACGGATTTAAAGTCGGATATTTTTATATCATATCCTATTTATTATTTGGTAGAAATTGGATATCAATATAAAAACAGCATGAACATAAATCCAGCAAATTTAAGTCACAAACAGCATATTAAAAACATACACAGCATTCTTAGCCAAGAATCCAGCATATTCTGACTTATACAACACTCACAGCAAGAAATCAACATATTTTTGAACATGTACAGCAAGAACAACAATGAATCCAGTAAATTTGAGCCATATACAGTCATATTCCGCGAGCATACAATGCAGCGGGTGTACAAATTGAACAAGTAGCACATCCTGAAATGAATATTTTTGCAAGCTAATAGTGATAACTGAAATAAACCACCATGTACTTGCACGTACATTGTGAGCACAATATAAACGATACTCAGAACATATCCATCGCATGTGAAGTGGATTCTCAATCCGAATCAGAGCAGCAATTAGTATTCGGAAAAAAAAAAAAGCTACAACTCCACATGTGAACAATTTGCGATTATAAAAGATTTCTCTACATCAACACCTAAACAATAGTGATACGAGCAATTTGAACACCTCAAGCTCAAAAATATATCCAGAGGCTCTCGGTTTAGACCACAATTCAGTCACATAACCAAATGAGTATTTAATTTGCTGAGAACAAAGTAAACCGAAGCATTGAGGGAAAGAGAACTCTCATGAACATTTCATCGAATAGGTTATGTGACTATCTCAAATTCAAATTCGCAACCTCAATCCATCTAGATCAGTACATGACGTTTGCAATCGAAGCAATAAACTTAGACGTAACATAATCACTGAGTGACAGCAATCTCATTCAAAGCCTTTATATTGATTGAATCTTTCCTTCGGATTGCTTCGATCGATACCTTACTTCCCTCGTTGTAAATCCAATCCAATCCTTTGCCGATCATCGCGTGTTGCAGAGAGGAAGACTATGAGGACAGGAAAGTCCTGGAAGACGACATGGAATTTGAAGAAGTGGAGGAAGACTGTGGCAAAACTAGCATTGGCAAGAAGCAGAGGAGATCGGACTTCATAGACGACGTCATGGATGAGGACACTGAGGAGGAAGAGGAAGACAACGAGGACGATGATTTCAATGGCGGCGACAGGGGAAGAGGCAGCGCGCGAAGAGGAGATCGGGATTAGAGTTCTTCAATCTCGAGCCTTAGGTTGACAGCGATGAGGAAGAGGATGAGGACGATGTTGAGGTCAATATGTAAAAGAGCGTTTCTTCACGAGAAATCCTATCCGGATCTATCCCACCTCTCCCTTAGAATTTTTTTATTCGGGCTATATCCCCTTCATATCCCTCTTCGTCCTATCCTGAACAGCCACCAAACACAGGATAAGATAAAACATATCATATCCTGACTTTTATCCGGACGACCAAACGCAGCCTAAAGGTATAATCGGGGTTGGGTTAAGTTCGTACGGTCCATTTTTCACATCGTGCTCGACCTTGATCGAACTTAATTTCTCAAGCTCGAGCTCGATTCGGATGAATTTTCGAATAGGTCAAAGCTCAACTCGGTACGACCCGATTAATCAAAAACCTTTTCGATCGGAGGGCTGAACTCGAAGTCCAGCTTGAATTATGGTAATATAAAATAGTTTGAATTTTTTTGTAACTTCATGTGCTTATTTATCGCGATAGGTGGTGTGCGTGTACATAGTAATAATATCAACTGAAATACTTGATCATTCGTGCGAGTCGAGTATTTTCAAGCTTGAATTGATTTGAGTACTCACGCCATTCAAACTCGACCCGAAATCGGGAAAAGATCATCGAGTCGAAGATCGAAGCAATCTACAAGTCGAACTCGAGCAGCTCACAAATCAATCAGCTACGCTTCCCTCCATTAGCGTAAAGAGGCAAGAAGTGAAATTTGAACCTCTGTACCTATGCAATCTCGCAAAACTCGAATAGGTCAAAGCTCACACATCAATCTAACCAGCAGCAGCAACCGCATGTTCGATGTTTTCTAACAGGAATTCCATCGCACACATCGCATGGTCAAAAGATCGATCTCGACATGAACATACGAACGCTTCACTTTTACTCGACTCCATTTACGCAGATTCAACGGAGAGAAGATTCAGGAACAGGAACAGATGAATCGACTCCGTAACAAACCCCCCCCCCAAGAAGATTTACTCCCCCTCTTCCCCCCTTTCGATACCGATGGCTAACCTCTAACCGGTAGCGCTAAAAGAGAGCAAGCTATTGAAATTCATAAAAAGACAGAAGAAGAAGAGATTCCTTATGCCATTCAGAGGTCGGCGGTGGCCCCGGGAGGCTTCGCCGGAGAGGAGGCGGCGGCGGAGGCGCCGGAGTCGTCGCCGTCGTCGGGATCGCGGGCCGGGTCGGACTTGTCCATGGCGGCGCGGGCCCAGTCGAGGAGCGGCTTCAGGGCCAGCTCGACGGCGAGCCACCCGACGGCTAGGGCTCCAAACACCACGGCCGCTTGCTTCGTCCCCTTCCCCATGTCGCCTTGTCGATCTTCCTTTTCTCCTTTCGGCTTCGCGAGGTCCAATTTCTTCTATTACCCACCGGCAAGACGTTCTGAATTCTTAGCTCTTAAGAGTCATGTGGGTTCCTTTCAATTGACAAGACGCCAGAGCCACCTCCCTTCCTCAGGAAATTTATCTCTTTTCTTTCTTTCGATTAATGCCATTTGATTTTTTTTGATATTATAATTTTAAAAAAGGGTTTTTTTTTTTTATAGGAAACGAAGTTTATGGATATATTTTTATTTATTAAAGTTCACTGCCGATATTATTTATCTATTAATTGTTGTATGCACGAGTGAGGTCGTATCCGATTCTTTCTTTCTTTTACTAATCACCACCGTATCAAAGGGCAATTCGCTAGCGAGTGACGACGGAATGCGCCTTTGATCGTCTTCTAAATTCGGCTAAACCATGGGCACAAATGCACCAGGCAATCCATACCGAGATACCGGCTTCCGGGCAACGAATCATTCTAGTCTGGATACTCACTCGATCATCATTTGCCATGCTACTCCTTTGCAGATCGCTCACGACATAGCATTATTCTACATGGAATGCTCCCGCTTTGCCATCGATAAGAAGAAAAATTCCTGACTATAGACAAAACAATCAACAGGAACACATGCCGTTCAGATTTTCTGTCGATGCGATACATAGCATATGAGCAAGCAGCCGATATTTGCAACTTAATTTGATGATCACCCGGAATAACTGCTAATCTTGGCAAACTTCTTTACCGGAGGCAATTATTCTGGAAATGAATGCACCGATAGGCATCGCTAGAATACCATTAAAAGTTCGTCAATTTGATCAACAATACCAGACTGATAATTGCAAGTAACTTCAGGCGCAGTTTAAGAATTCTACCATAAAACTCCGACTAGAGTACAGTGTCGCCAATCTTTTTCAAGTCCAGAGAACCGACACGTCTTTCATGCAACACCCTCGGTTTCTACACAACCTCAGAGATGATACAAAAATTTTGAAACAGCGAACAGCAAACTTAACGCCCGCGTCCACGTCCGCGACCGCGTCCACGGCCCCGACCTCGTCCCAGAGCCCTCCCTGCATTAAGCAATCCATGTCAATGCTCAACAATTCTTATCAATGTTCCACTCCATATCAGAATTTAAGACAATTAGAAAAGGGGAAGTAAGCGAAAATTGTGGGGTACCAGCAGTTGGCTTCTTCGGTTTGACCCGAGGCGTCTCTTCCACCAATAAAGTTTCAAGATTTATACTGTCTGGAAGAATGTAGTAACGGATATTATTCCCCCTCACACTCAGGTGATCCAGAGTCACTGGGTTTTTCCCTTTCAATGTGAGCTTCACAGTCTTGAGATGTGTGTTCATACTAATATCAACACCTACAAAATCATGCAACACACATCAAGTTCTACACACATAAGCTATACATGCATCGCGCACGCACAAAGTTTCAACCCAAATTTCTCAAAAGCAAATTGCAGTTGTCAGTAACGATGTTGACGCACAAAGATGTTGCTCAAGGGAGCTGCATAAATAGCATGCATCAGAGGTACAGGCATGGAGTTGAAGATGTACATGCCCAGAGTTCGTGTCTAGGTAAGCTCATGTGTTTTTCGCAAAATGATTTTCAGGTTGAATTAAGAGAAAAAAAATCAGCACATTATAGATGAGAATGCAGTTTGGCTGAGAGATGTGGCGCCTCTATTGGCTTCCATGAGGTGTCTGGGCGTAATCCTGGCCTTTATGTTCTCCTTCCAATGTCCAGAAGGCATGAACCAATTCAACCTGGTTGAACGGATCCCTGGTTTACCTTTTAAACCATGGTCCAACCCGGTTTCATGTTGAGCTATCTACAAAACCAGATAGTACACTGGTCCGGTTCCGGATTCAACCAATGATCAGACCAGTCTGGTCAGGGTTTGAAAACACTGCTTAAGTATGATCCCTAAGTGCCCATATAAATTATGAAATGGACAAGATGTGTAAAAAAACCTCTCAATCAAACAAATGTATAGCTGCAGTAAATGCATGCTCAGCCATATCAGTATGTCAGAAAGAGGGGGAGCGAAACCTGAAAATTGTTTACTGTCGAAAGAGTGTCAAATAAGCAAAGAAAAGTTCATAGCATATTCAGAGCATCTATTAATCAACAGGAGTTCGGATAGGTCGACAGCAGTAATTCCATGCAAATAACCAAATTATGTCAACCTTTGCAGACCTTTCCCAGGAGTGAAGCTTCTTTCCACATGCATTTGGGCAGGAAGACACACAGTTTTAGATTCTACCCAGCATAACTTACAAAACCCCTAAATGGTAAAAAAACTTCAACTACATCCAGAACGGTCCTTGGTTTATATAAAAGCCAGTGGCCAATGACCACTTGTAGTTCGCATGGATGTTCAAACCATACAGTTGGAGATCAACCTTTTCTACTTCCGATCAACCTTAAACTATCAACATCAAGAGCAATGAAACTGAAACTTTAATCTTGGTTCCAAATTAAACATTCCTACAATTACATTTAGTACAACTCATTAATACGTGAGATCAGTTTCCTGGATTTGACACTACAGAATCTTAGAAAGAGTCACAACTACATAAAAGCTTCGAACAAGAAAATTCGACATCATTGTGAACAGACTACTCAGTGTCTCTATCTATATCAAGGTGAATTATTGTCAAGACACAGTAGAGTTCCATCCCTCAAGGCACTGCCACCGCGTATGTGGAAAAGCTGTATAGAAGCAATGAATTCAGGCCATAAGCATCCGGAATCACATTAATGGTTCACCTAACAGACTCTGATTTTTCTTTTATTGCAATGCGACTCTCTATTGATGTTTTAAAAGCATTTCAAGAAATATGGAGAAAGAATTTCTAATCGAAATGCCCCACAACATATTGACTAGATTTGCCTTGAACCTCATAAGCAAAAACCAGCTTATTCTGCTACAGTTTTCATTTTGCCATCCAGAATATGCAGCAAAATAGTAGAAGCTGCCCCCAAACAGCCAAACCACCAAAGCCCATGCTCACTCTCTTGTCCATTGTGTACCAAAGTTGTGTAACTCAGAAGTCAATGCTTTTCAGACTCTCTTACCATTTCTCCAGTCACAGTTTTCCCATCACTAAATTAGATCTTGCTTTCTTTTATTCTTGAAAGAGGCACACTAAGCGCTATCATACTCTATTCAACCAAAAGAAAAACGATATCATACTCTATTCAACCAAAAAAAAAAAAAAAGCGCTATCGTACTCTACATCGATCACTTTCAATCTCTGACAAAGCCATGATGGTTCGTGCTTTGCTTTGACACCATCTCAAAGATAACTTGAAGTTGATTATCTAGGTTTGGAACAACGCTATGTCCAATTTGAAGTGCTCCCCACCTTCCATCGCCCCAGTTCAAACAAGCCTTTACACAAACCATTCACATCCGAGGTTCATTCCCCTCTGGCGCTAGAATTTAAAGCAAGCAAAGGTTATCTACATGATGCCTATCAGGGGAAGAACACAAGGTCAACCCACATCCGTCACAATGTCATCAAACCAAGACAATTTTGTCCAACCAGAGTAATCCCTACTCCACAACTGATGCATCCAAGAACCCTGATCTACGTGACAACTGTAATACTGAATAAATGCGCTCAGGATTACATAATCTGGCAGCCAAAATCTATCAAGGGCAGACAGGAATCAGACCGCAGAAAGTTGCTTGCCCTACTGGTGATGGGCCACCCTCCAAATTTCCAACACACCATTATATGGGTCAGATTAATTCAAACTGTGCACCGAGACAATAACACCTTGTAACAGAGAGAGCGTAATTTCCAGCTAAACCTCCCGTAGCATCTTTTCAAGGAGCCGATTCAATAGAAACCAAACTTTAGCACAGCCAAGGCGACAACGTGAATAGAGGGTAGGGTTTAACAAAACCCTAAAAACACCCCAATCAGATGGCTAGGAACTGGCAGGCAAAGTGCGGGGAAAGAGAAAGGTAAACCTGTGATGGTGCCGTGAACCACAGTCCCATTCTTGAGCTCGATGGAGACGGTCTCGTTGTTCAGCTTCATCAAAAACCTGCTCATTTTTCAAATCGAAACCACGAAACAAAACCTCAGAGACACAAAAAAAAAAAAAAAAAAAAAAAACCAAGAAGTGGAGCAGAAAACGAAAGGAAGACCGACCTGACGAGCTTCATCGCCGCGAAGAAGACGAACGCTAGGGCTCCTTGGCCAAGAGCGAAGACGGAGGCGAAGCACAGACAGAGAGAGAAAGAGGACTCTGTTCGAGCGGGCGAAGAACGCTGCTGCTGCTGCTGCTGCTGATCTTTACACGGTTCGATCCGACCGCTCTCGCTCTAGGGCTCGCTGCTCGCCCTCGCGAGCGCTAAATGCCTTTTTCCTCTCGACTCTTCAAAGGCGAGCAAATAGGCGGGCCGGGCCGGGCCGATCAGGGCTCGGACCGGGTTTCAGGAATATGGCCCGGATGCCCATCGACTGCCAAATCAAATTGGATGGCTCAGATCTGTCTTTGCCCGCGAAGGTCGCCACCGCCGAGCGTCGATTGAGGAATGGGAGGCGGAGCACGCGACCGGGGCCGACGTCCGCGAGCTAGAAGGTGGCGGGCGACAGGACGAGGCGGGGGGCTGGTGATGGAGAGCCATGGCGGGGTCGACCGGCACGGATGCATTTATTGGTGGAGAAAATATCCGTAAAACGCGGGGATATTTTGATCAAAGTCAATAACTTTATCATTTGAAGTTACCTTTAATCTTACCGGATTCCAATCCGATAGAAATAAATTCCGTCATATTTATAAAAAGAAAATAGTGAAAAGTAATAAATAACGCGTTGAACTGGTTAAACTATGTATAGACAACTCATCTTCTAATTAAGGTTTTATATGTTCACATTGTAGTGATATATTTCGCAATACCTTAGATATTTCTCTATATAAATATCTTAAAAGAATAGGGAAAAAAAACAAATAAACAGATGTATTAATTCAAAGGGGTTCGAGCTCAAGTTCAGTTCAAAATTAGACGAGCCGACCTCGAATCAAGTCATGCTTGAGATACTTAGGAGTAAATTTGCCCGAGCTACTTGCGAGTAATTCGACTCGGTTTCGTTTAAGTCAAGGACCGTGATATTTAAATCCTTGCATCACTTTCCAAATTCTATTTTCTAACAAAAAAACACAATCACGATCTCGTATTCTTTAAAGAGAGAAATTTGCAATGTATCGAATGACATTGATAAAATTAATTTTGGTACATCAAGCATTATTCATATTATAAAATTTTCATTCTTCGATGTTCAAGCATCTTTACAAGGGCGATCTCACCCATTTAAGAAAAAAAAAAAAGAAACCCAGAAACATTTTCGGCTCAATTTATTGCAAATTATATATCCCGAGGCCACTTATTATTCCAAGTAGAAAATTTAAATCACGTGCAACATAATGCACGAGCTAATACAACTCATAGTAATTTTCATGCACTGCTGGTGAAGTTGAAGTTGGCGCACGTAGTCTGCCTTCCGAGCAGCGTCGAGCTGAACCCTAGCCTCGAACTCGCCAGGTCGAACTGAACCAGATTGTCCTGCAGCTGGTACCCTCCGATCACGACCGAGGTCCTCGGCCTCGACCCTCCGTCCACGAACCCTAGGCACAGCACATCCTCGCTCACCTCCACCATCGAGTTCGACCCGGTGATCGTCCACACGGCCTCCTCGCCCTGCAAGACCAAGAAGATGTACGGTACCCCCGGCCCGACACGCGTGCTCGTCACGCCCGCCGAGCTGAAGCAGTACTCGAACGGCGATACGGCCGATACCCTAGTGATGTTCATCGACGCGGCTTGCTGGACAAAGGCCTCTGTGAGCGCGGCATATATGGAGGACTCGAGGACAGTGTAGGGATTGACGGTGCTGATCTTGGTGCCGCCATAGCCATCGCTGTCGATCGAGAGGAGGGTGGAGTTTAGGGATAGATTTTTGTCGCCGACCGTGATGGAGGTCACTTTGATGAAGTACTCGGACGAGGGCTCGCCCTGAGAGTACGCCGAGGCCGTGCTCACGGGATTGACGTATAGCGGCGTGTACGCGAGGGATTGCGAAGCGTTGATGTTTGGGAGGAAATTGTAGGAGCTGTCGCCAAAGAAGATCACACCGTTGGCCGTGGCCGACGACGAGAGGCAGATGGCGAATTTCCGGCTGAAGGTGAAGGCAGAGGCAAACTGCGAGGGCAGCGCGATCCTGGTCCTTCCTAGGCCAGCCATTCCTTGGACGCCGCTAGCGAGGCCATCCAAGAGAAAGCTCGGGGCGCAGGCAAAGACGAACTGGGTAACATCGTAAGCCCCGCCCGGGTTGGACCCATCGGTGGAGTTTACTGACACGACATCGGTCGCGACCTCACCGCCCGTGGCGGTGTGCGTGACTGTGTTATCCGGGGTGACGACGCACGTGTTGTTGTTGCAGCCGGGCCTGGCGGCGGAGAAGCAGTCGCCACACCCGCTGGCGCGGGCCAGGGTGCACGCGGCCGAGCCACAACGGGCAGGGCGGTACGTCGAGGAGACGTAGTTCTGCTCGCAGTCGACCCAGAGGAACTGGCCGCCGAGGTCGACGACGAGGTCGACGGGGATGAGAGGGGTCCTTTGCGAAATCCGGGTTACGTACTGGAGGGTCGAAGCATCTTTCGAGACCGGGAGCACGAGGGCCACGGGGTGAAAGGGCTGCTGGAAAGAGGGAGCGACGGCGGCGGCAAAGAAGAGGAGGAGGGAGAAGAGAAGAGAGCACTGGATGGAGGAAGCCATTGTTGAGGGGATGAGGAAGAAATGCTTGGTAGAGATGTGAAGTTGGTCATGGGGTATTTATAGCTGTCGCGTATGTTGCTTGTAGCGGTGAAGTCTCCGTCGTTGCACAACAAAATCGTTAATTAATCGAAAGAAAAAATGGTTTCACGCGGCGGACGAAAGAAAATTGATGCCAAGAACTTTCAACCCTTTTGATTTGAAACGTCTTTACGTATAATTATATTTATATCACGCGATATACTGATATGATATCGTTTAGTTAATTAAGTATTTTCGTTCATTGTAATTCGTTTCAAATTATGAATGAAAGCAAGGATCGCTCGTCGAGTTTACAGTACGTTGACGGCGATTCGCTTGATCGAGTAAGCTCCTTCGTAAAATGCTTCTTCCGTCATCGGCGAGATAACGGCGGTGTGTTGGGGCGGAGCCACCGCGAGAGGGGCTGATGTCAAAGGTGGCACCTCGAACCCACTTGATCCGGAAGACTGGATTGGTGGACTTTGACCGTGATGATTTCGTCCATTGTTTTATCCGATTTTTTGGAAAAGATCGTCCAGGTTGTGCTGTCCCTCGTTTTCTTCATGATGGGCTCGTCAAAACATTATCTGTTCACTGCATTTATGTGACATACATGGAGAAATGATAGAGAGGCCGCATCTAGAATGTCTGGAAGGACATACCCATGTTCTCACTATCAAGACAGCTCGAGAGAATTTCCCCGATTTTAGGATCGATTGCCGTTCTTTCGATGGTGTTTGCAGGTGAACTTGGTCCGATGTGCGACCATAATTAACTTGAAAACACGGCATGATTGCGATACAACTCGAGAACAAGGAAGTTAAAACATGAATCCATAACATGTAAATTGCGCGGAGCGATGTCAGATGGCCTCGTCGATGAATTGGGAAGACCTCTCGATCCTTTTAGGTCGTGCCGGAGATATTGTTGTTTACACGTTGATCAATCTATATGTGTCTATCCGATTAGTTAGTGCCAAAGGAAAATTGTGGTTTATACGACATATTTTAACTTCCATTTGAATCCACTTTGATATACAATAGAAGATCACATTAAAAAAGACAGAGAGAGAACGAGGAACGGTCAGGTGATCCATGGGGGTTTATTCCTTTGCGTGTGCTGTCAACATATCCACGTGTCGGGAACCCAATAATTGACAAGTCATACGTGACACTTCATCTATAGGATGTGCCGACCTTGGATGTAATCTCTGATGAATATGAACGATTCTATCTCCATTTTTTGGAAAATTGAATAAGATGAGATTGACTAAAGTAGGGTCGATTTATAAAATATTGACTGAATTTACTTTAATTAGATACGTGCCAAATCTTTTTATGTGGGTCGGGGCTAACCGGCAAAGGGTTTGAAAAACAAGCCTTCGTTTTTATTCTTGGAGAATGATCCCGGGTTTTATATGGGGGGATAAGGATTGATCTTCCCGAGAATAGTCAAACCCCAAATCTGATTGCGTGATAACGAAATTGATCTAATCAATCATACCGTAATTGTTTATACAGTTATATATGATGTTTGAATCCTTGTCACAATTTGCAAACGCCACAGTCAACAGGGCGTTTCGAGCGGATGCGTTGTTTTTGAAAGTCAACTAAAATCACTAGGATAGTATAATCTAGAAGTTCATTTGTCAAGTAATTTCCATTGCAATGGGCCACTTTATGTATGATCAAGTGCTGACAAGGAAAGCCTGGTCTAACAAGGTAACAAATCCATGTTGAAACGTTAGCCGGCCTCTACAGCTAAAGCATTATGTGCATTTTCAGTTGTGTTGTGCCGTGTGATGGGTGTGTCTTGGCTTCCAGTGTCTGCAGAAGCCAAGCTTGAACCGGAACTCCAGTTCCGGCACAGCGTGCATGCTAAAAAGGTCGAGAATTCGTGTTCTCTGTCCGCAAGAGTTCTGCTGGGACTTGTCCAGTCTAAGAGCAAGCATAACCGAGTTATCCCCATTTCGACTAAAAATAAAGCTGTTCAATCGAAATTGAGCAGCAAATGTAACTAAGGATCATACAATTACTCCATCTAAATGCAGGCAGCTTATTCCATTCCTTATGCTGCCCATGCTGTGGAATTACTCATTGTTCAATCTATGCGCTGCGTCTGACTTATGAAATGCACACCACCTTCACTACAATAAGCCACTGGTTCGATGATGCAGACTTTGTGCGCATGCATACCGAACATTCTCATCAAAGGTCATGAGAACATACTGGTGTGAGAGAGGGTGTGCGCGCAAGAGAGAGCTAGAAATGCACTCTTAGTTATGTAGCTATTCTTCATAAGCAGCTAGTTAATGAAAATAAGTGTTTTCTCAAGCAGCATACCATTGCTTTTCGAGTTCATATTAGCCATATCCACAATAGCCGCCAACCTAGCCGATTAAGTAGACAACAATTCCAGAGGCACTGCAGAAGCTCTTTTCTATGCTTCCTTATTCGAAATTATCTCTTTCAAATTTCCCAATCAATCGGGAGAGATTCAGTAATATGTTGGTTTTAACACATCTCCCTTCCAACTCAATGTATAAAGCATATCGAACCACCCCTCAATTCGATGGCCCAGGGTAATCCTTAGCATTACAAAGTACAGAATCAACTCGACGGTTACCTCAGGACTGTAAAATCAAAGCTTGAATGTTGCCCACAATCGCTTGCGGACTCAAAGAAGCATCAACCTTCCAAATGCCTTCCGCTTCATCCACCTGGAGCAACTCCAGCTGAGACTCCAAAAGCGAAAGCGGCATAAAATGCTTCCCTTCTGTAGCTCTTATCTGCAGTCGGGCAGTGAGAACTTTGGCCTCCACATCCAACAATACAAACTTCACTGAACTAGAGAAGCTGCCTGACCGATACTTTGGGTCAGCGGATCTCAGAATTTCCCTATAATGCTTCTGCAGAGCAGAACAGCCAAGAACCACAGTTTTTCCGTCTAGCAAGCTCTCACGCAAGGTGTCCCGTAGCGTTTCGAGCCACGGGATTCGATCTTCCTCGGAGAGAGGGATTCCTTTACGCATCTTTTCTGCCAAAAAAATTGAACAGGTTTAAATCGAAGAGCTTATGCACTCAAATCAAACCAAAGGGGGGCACAAGTTCCCACCTTTATTCGATGTTGGATGGAAGTCGTCAGCGTCGAGAAAGCTGCACTCCATGACCTCTGCTAGCATATGTCCTATTGTGCTGTCCAAACCACATATATGACATTCAAGCATCGTAACAAAGCAGGAATTTAGGCAAAAGCATTTCAGTTTTCTCCCTTCTATCAAAAGGGTATTTATACTCGACTGAAGCATCGGCTGAAGTGATGCCTTGACACATTGTCAAATGGGTAAGTAAGGGCCCCTAGCACACACAAACTTAACTGATTATATTTTCGAAGATGATCACGTAGCATTGGCAAAGAACTTTACAAAAATGGTTAAGATCAGACATTTGCCATCACGGAGTACTTCTACAGGTAGCTTGCTGGAATTAACTGACAATAGAAAGGCGAAATGCTGAAATTCATTCATCCCTGATGTGGTAAATCAACACGGCAACTCAAAAAACAGAGTCTCTCAATCAATTTGCTAGCAAAAACATCCTCATTCTCCAATCCAGCTATTTAAACTCTTCTCAATTAATTAGATCACAAATATGTCACTGAAATGGCCACAATGGTTGAAAAATTTCTCTATTTTCAACCCCAGAAAGGTAAAGAAGAAGAGGTTTTTTCACTACTTACGATTTCCCAGAACCGCTCACGCCCATGATCGCAATAACACTCCCTGTAAACAGAGAAACAGAGGGTATTCAGTAAAATTTCAAAACGCAAACCGCACGATAAGACGGCAAGAATTCGCGCAGATCATTTCACGCACGAGTGGATCAATGGAGGGATGCTCAAAATAAAGACACAAAAACCAAAAATCGAACCTTTCTGAACGGAGGCCATTCTTGGTCGGAGGAATGATCGTCCCTTTGAAGCCCTTGCTCACGCTCAGCACATATTCCCGTGAATTGGGGAGTCAGAGTCGAAGGGTTCCATCCTAATTTCCAACTATAAGTAGGAATTTAATACTTGGATGTGAAACCAAACATTTTCTTAAGACAACCAACTGTGTACAAGTGTCAAATGATTAACATATAATCCCATAGCTAAGCCGGTGAGGATCACGAGGCAATCTCTTTGGTTGTTGCTTGTTATTAGGCGTACCAACTCTTCTTTGGTTGACACGGCGATGGTTGACATTGCGGCTCAAACAACGTCATTTTATATGAGGCTGAATAATACACGTCAGTCTCAAACTTTCAAGAACGAATTTCACTATGATTTCAATCGCCAAATCTGAGTTGAGGAAGGGGTTTGAGGTTTTATTTAAATCGAAACTCCACATAAACGTTAAGGAAACCACGAGAAGATGAATGGCCAATCGTATAAACATCTACCTGGACGAAGATGATGAGTTCACGAAGTTTAAAGGAGCACGACGAAGTTGGGAAAGGCAGAGAGCAAGCGGCCACCGGAGAGGGAACGACGCCGAAATAAAAAATTTGAAAATAAAAAATTCACGCAGGAGATGGGATAGACTCGAATAGAATATGGAGTAAAAGAAAAATAAAAAGCCAAAGGTAGATTAACGGAGAGAAAACGGGCGTGGGAGCTTCCCGATCCTCTGTAATGTTGCCCATTGGACCCATCAGACCATTGCCTGCCTGTCGGTGGCGAATCCTCCACTCGCCGTCGAGGATGCTCACCTAGATCTGCCGCCCAAAAATATAGAGAGTACCCTTTGTTCGCAGTGGGCCATTTAAACCTTCTTCGACCTTTTTTCCCGATAAGGCTTCGACATAGTGATCGATCAGCATGGAGGGGTCATATAACCCACCAGCATTTTCAATTTTTGGATGAAATTCATCGGTGAATTTGACATTGCCGTCGCGACATTATGTGAGAAAGAAATACAGACGGGGAAGAGAAGCCCCCTGACGGGTGTGTTGTCTTTGCAGGTGAAGAGTCTTCGAGGGAGAATCATGAACAGAGTTGCGTGGGTCATGTGTTAGCAATCAATAAAAAGACCTAAGGTTTTAAAGCAATTTCCTCTTCTTTTCCAAAATCTTTAGACGAAAGGCTGTTTGGAGATGAAGAAAAGTGATGGCCGGTGAGAGAAGTGAATAGAAGCCAAATGGAGGGAACTCGTAACTGGGGGTGAGGGTGATGATCGTGATGAGGCAACCATTCCGGCGGCAAGCACGGGGCGGCCATCGCGTCCCTGATCACGTGACATGAGAGAACAGACACTCGGTCCAGGATATCCATATCCATCTTATATCTGGGCATTTACAAAATATAGTATAAGATATTACAAATCCCATCGTTATCTTATCTGACCTACACCCTATCCGACAAAAAAATGCAGACGATCAAACGCAGCCCAAAAGAATAACATGAGATTTCTTTGAGGGTTATGTGCCATTGTGCCATTTGATGAGATCACGATCGTGAGAAGTGTGAACTTAAGTGAATAGATCATGGGGTGCCAAGTGTCATGCTCTAAATGGTTGACCCAGTCTTGAGGCTTCATGGGTCAAAATTTCTTCAATCGAATCCGATTTCTCTCAATATCATTGTCTCTAAATCAAAATATTTAGAAGAAGTCAAATCTAAGAAAAATGGGATAAGTGCATTAGAAATCCTAAAATTTGTCATAAAAGTACAATTGATTCTTAAAAAGTGTAATCAAATTCCAAAACTTGTCAAATTGGTCTAATCAAGTCCTTCTATTGATTGCACTTTTTGAAAGTTTTAGGATTTAATTGCACATTCGTGACAAGTTTTGGGATTTGATTGTTCTTTTTTAAAGTTTTAGGACTTAATTGCACTTTCATGACAAGTTTCAGGACTTTCAATACCTTTTTAAAAAAAAATGATAAGAAGACAATGAAATGCTAATTTTTCGATTTAATCGAAAAAATTAACATTTAACCATTTTATGAAAATTTGCAATTCAAAGTCCAAATTCTACATGCCTACATTGAATTGACACCTATGTGCAATTTTTACACGTTTTTGTTGAGCTTTGACTTAGGATTGACTTTTGTTAGGTTTGATCAAAAACTCAATTATTGTTTATTAAGAAAATGATACTTAATTACTGATGAAATGCAATATGCTCGTAATTTCAACATGTAATCGAGGTGCTGATGTATTCATCTAATTTGTTTTTGTCAATAAATGAGTCCCCCCATAATCGAGAATCTCAAATCTCAAATTTTCTAAGTTTGATCGGTCGAGAAAATTCATGTGCCAATAAAACCAAACTCATCTTTCACACAGAAAAATATGCGATTTTAGATAGACAAAAGGAATTTATATCCACCAAATATGTCTCATAAAGGACATTGGATGAAAAGTATTGATTAAAAATCCAAAGACCCGTTCGAGAATTCATGAAGATAATCCGAATCGCATCTATGTTGCATCTTAATTATCGATTGCACGTCAATCACGGGGTTATTTCAATTGATATCAATTAGGCAAGTCCATTGCAAGAGGATTTCATTCTTTACCCCTTTCGCGCAGAAAAGGAAGAAAGAGAAAAAGAAGAGGAACTCAGGAGACACTCGATACGAACAACTCGAGGAGAAAACTGCATTTCCACCTCCTATGAGTCTTGCCGCACGACACCCGTTTACGACAAAGTTCAAATTTAAAATTGATCATATAGATGTGAAAACAAATCTAATTTTAGGGGGGTCAATGCGCATATATATGAAATGTGGGGGGGATCAGATAGAAATTTTCCAATAAAGCGAGGGCGAGAACTCAAGGGGGCCCAAAGTTGAGCCCGACTAGAGAAAAGCGATCTCCCCGTTGCTCGCATCCCAAAAGGCCGAGCCCACGAAGGAGAAGGCCCGAGCTCCGAAATTACGATATTACCCCCCCAAGGAATTTGCGTGGCACGCACGGGGGGGAATATTCCGCTGATTCGGTCGCCGCCGTGAGACGCTTTTATGGTTCTACGCGCGTCGGGATCCCGAGCTGCTCCTTCCTGCGTCTCCCTCATCCTCGCCATCGTTCATCATCATCATCTTCTTCTTCTTCATCGTCGTCTCCTCGTCGAATCCCGTCCACGAAACTGCGATTGGCCTCGAACCGGAGGGTCGAAGCGTCGTCGCCCGGATCTTCCATTTCCGTTTCTTGAAAATCTGCCCAGCATGGCGACACCGGAGGTCCTGCAAAGCCCAGATGAGCTCCTCCTGCAGTCTCCTCTCGGCGGCCCTCGTCGCGCAGGTGATGCCTTCGAGCCTCGCGTGGATCTTCTTCTCGTGTCGATCGATCTGTTCGAGGGGTCGGATGGCTCGGCTTTTTATAAAAAAAAAATTTCCCTGATGGTTTGTCTCTGTTTGCTCTGTTTGATCCCACCAGGCGAGAATGCCAAGTCTCGGGGGCTGTCGATCGAGAAGAAGATCGAGTTTCTGGAGAGTTTGACTGGGGCGGTGAGTGCGTTAGTGATAAGTGGAAGCAGGATGTGAGCGTGAATGTGCCGTTTTTGGGTGTCTGTCATTGTTTGTTTATCGATTGGCATTCGTGGTGTGTTGAGGCTGGTCGGTGAAGTGTAGTTCAATCAAACGCTCTCGCCGAGCAGGGGAGAAGAAAACCGGGCGATTGAATGTTAAAAGATTCCAATTTTAATGCTTTTGATCCAGAATAGTGTTGACTGGCTATAAGAGTTGACCACTCTGTTTTTGATTGAGTTGTAGTGACCATGAGCCAGATCTTGCATAGAAATAATTAGGCTTTTCTTTCTACTTCAGCATGTGGTTTTATCTACTTAGGAAGCCCGTGTTCTTCATTGATGGACAAACCATTTGTTTCCTTTGTTTTCTTTCGGTTAAAGCTTACTCTTTTCGGCCCGAGTGCGTATTATTTACCTTTTCAATGGTTCAGGCCCAATAAAAGGGGGGAAAAAGAAAAAGGTTGTGAATGAAGTAGGCTGTGTATATTGATAAGTGATCGGCGATTGTCGATTAGCATGTGTCATCTTCTAATGCCACGTATATGCGATGCTCTTTTCATGGTCGAAAGGTTTTTTTGCTTGCATACTTCGGAACGACCTTATGGAACTTCTAATAATTACTATCCATCATAATCCCATTCCTGCTTTGGGGCATTCGCCTGTTTACATTAGTTCATTAACTCGTGCAAAGGTTCATATTGCAATCTTTTTGAGATGTGGACGGAACAGGATTTGTCGCAGAGTATGTATGAGAAAACCTTATGATGATGTATGTAGGTGAGCAACCGGAGGTCTCGAAGATGGTTAAATGACCGTTTGTTAATGGAGCTTGTTCCTCCTTTAAATGCCAAGGAAATCAGAGGGCTCTTTGCTCCTCCGCCTTGGGGTACTGAATTTCTAAAACATAATATTTTTCCTTTTTCATTTGGAGTTACTGATGATTGCACATTTCTCTTCAGAATTTTGGATGGGTGCTAAACTTACTCCATAGTCTCAGATCAACTCTTTGGTTCAACTAGCTCGCCTGTGAATTTTTTGAAGTGAAATAAGCAGATTGCATTACCTACAGCTAGTTGTTAGTTCCACTCAGTTGGTTGATTGTGCGATTGATGTGAAATGTGAGTTACAATATCAATCGCTCTAGTGGTGTGATAGTTCCAATCATTGCAGATTTTGGGCCTGAGGTTAAGGGCCAGTGGAACAAGACTATTAATTTTTAAATTATAATATGTACATTTGCATGACTGAATGAACTTAATGTGTGACAGTTGCTTCCATAGAGTATGACCTTCTTTTGGCCAAAACCCTGAAGGAAATGGACAGTGAGAGTTGCTTATCAGAATAATGTTAGGATGTTGTAAGGGTGGCACAATCTGCAGTTCTGGTCCTTTTGGGGGCAGATCTAGAGGTAGATTTATCTAGTAATGTGATGCGGAAACTAAGCGATTTTACTGGACAAATACGATTTAATGATGTGAGCACGTAATTTTCTTTAAAAGGACTCATGGTGATATACCTTTGGTTCATTTTCAGGCGATGATGTCCCACCATCCCCCTTTTGCATGGCAAATGCTCGAGAGTGGGACAAACTTAGGAATATAGACATGGACAAAGAGGTTTGCTTTTTTCATTTCTTTTGAATGTGTTCTTGCAAAATTTCAACTATCATTTTTCTCATGTCATTGATGTTAATATTTTTTTACCAATATAGTATTGTCATCATATCTGATAGTTGTGGTTGCACAATCAAACGACTGATATGTATGTGCAATTAATGTTCTTGTATTGAAAGGCCGTGTGATGGGGCCATGAAGAATATATAGCTCATGCATTTTAATTTGAAGTGCTTTGAGATTGATTGACAATTCTGTTCTGTACCTTCAGGATAAAATAACATGGCGTACAGTTTTAGTGTTTGCATCTTTACGGGGTTGTAGTGTCCTGCTCGACAAAAGTGGATATGCGCGAATCTTCTAGTCTATTTCATGGCATATTTCACCTTCTAATCTTGTTGCACATGTCCTAGTATATGAAGGGCAAGTGTCCTCCACATATTGTGAGGAAGAATTGGTTTTGATTTCATGGGTATTTGTAGTTTTATGTTTTCTTTTTTCTATGCTTTTTCCTGTTGTAGATTTTTCTTACTAGGTTTACATCTCTCCACATTTATGATGATAATGCAGCAGTTGCATCATACCTGTATTATGATAGGACATGAGATGATGTTTGATCTATTTCTTTCTATTGAATTCCAGGCCAATATGATTGACAATATTAAAGCATCATCCAGAAGGCACAGAGCTCGTATGGACACTGATAAGGTGGCTGTCTTGAGTTCATGGCGCAGAGTTGATTGTCGGACTAGAGAGGCTCTTCGCCGTAGCTTTCTTTTTGAGCTCATTGAAAGCTATGAGGTATAATCTAGTTTGAAACTTTTATGTTGCCTAGATATTGGACAGGTCTTGTCTTGTGCATGTGAGAGTCCGTGTCATTGCGGCTTAGTTTTTTTTGTATATACGGGCGAAGGGAACTGATATATCTTTCAATCACTTATTGCTCCTCACTCTTAATGTGGTTATTGTCTGTAGTATAAAGGATATATGATTGGTAAAGCTGTTAAGTCATGGTGATATAGTGTAAAGTCTGCGAAAGACCAGTTAATTTACACTCTTTTGAAATAAGGTTAACGTAGGAGTGAATAGGAAACATTGGAATAACTGAGCTGCAGGAGTACCTGTGATAAGATGAAGAGGAATAGCCTTGCTCTTCCCAATTCCCGTGTCTGTATAAGGAACCTTATTCTTAAAGCAACTCCTTTTTCACATTACAAGTGGGAACCCCTCTTAATCTTCCAGTTAGCACATGTATAAAAGATGCCTTTGTCTTTAGGCATGTGTACGGGCCTTCATCCTGGAGAGGGGAGCTGAAGATGTTCTCGAGCTCCAGGTTCAAGATCCTTTCCATAGGCTTCTGCTGCATGGTGTTTGTGAGGTAATTTTTGCTTGAATTTTAACATTATACCTTTACTTTCTGTGCTGAAAAGACTAAATAAAACAATCCTTGGAGGAGCTGGAATTCTGGATCTTGGTCTTCTCATTGATCATTAGTTAGTAGGGTTTGTACCATCTATAAGTACATTAAAACTGGATTGCTGGTCTTATCTTTGTTCTACGGTAGAGTTTTCGGTGCTTTTATTCCTAGATAATAGAGGTTCCTAGCTAAGAGAGAAATCCTCCGTGAACAGTTCTACAACTTGGCTTCGGTCACGGTTACCCAATCAAAGGATGCAGGGTCCCTGAAGGTCACAAGGATAACTAGGAAGAAAGCAGGGTCTACCGAGCTCCCTAGCATCACCTTGTCCCAGTTCCTGAGAATGTCCAAGGAAGGGATTTGGTAACATTATGTGGGAGCCTCCCGTGCTTGTCAAATGTAAAATAAAAACTGTAATGCTGTACTTTATTGAAACTGTTAGGTGCTTAGCAGGGAAAAGAAATCTGCTTAGGTAGTACTCTAATCTCCTGCAAGGGATGTCAGTTATTTTCCAACCTCCATCTCTCATGGAGATTGTGATTTCTTAGGGTTTAGCATGTGCTGTTCGTCCGGACCTTTATTCATTTATTATTCTCCGTTTGGTACATAAATAAAGGAGAATATGTTTCCTAGATCCTGCATGGAATTATCATGGACTTGTGATAAAGTTAGGGATACTGCTGAAATACTGGACATTGTTGTGGCTCTTGTGAGTACCAAGTAGTTTATGTCCCGAGCACATTATTTTGTCATTAGAACAATCTCGATAAAGTATCTGTAAAGGCATGGGAACATTTTGGAAATGGCTATTTAAAGAAATGAACTCATTCTCCAGGAGAACCGCACTTCGCAGTACCTCAGTCACCATTCCTGGGTGGTACATACTACATACCCGAAACAGCCTGGGCGTTCTTTGCATTGGTAAATCAATGATAGCCTTCTATCAAACGGTGAATGAGCGCTCTTCCTTGTTTGGCTTGAGGAAACACTCTTCAAAAGACCTAGGAAACCGATTTTCATCTCGGGTACGCATGCGTGGCAAACCTAACCGGACAAGTCATTATGCGTATATAACTCGTGATTCTTTAGGGGAGTGTTGTGGTATGTCACATGCACTTGAATCAGATTTCCTTTCTTTCCCTGGATCGACCAACATGTATCAAGAATTCCTCGGCGATGGTAAATTCAGTATGTCGAACTCATCGCTTTACAAGCTAGAACAGTGATCATACCTCTATCCATTCCCCGTGCCACCGTGGGTAAGTCTTAAATTTCGGACCTTTCACTTCTCAAGATTACAGCCGACTCAAAACTGTGTAACCAACCCCGGCTTCACACTAGTGTACTATGAGTTTGCTTTATCCTTCTCTTAACAATGGTGATACGACTGAAAAGACTCCAATATTAACAAATTTGGAACGACTTGCATCCCTTGAGGTGATCGGACAATTATCTTGATAGATAGAAAACTTCACACCACACAACTATATCTATCTTCTTCTCCGAATCCTAGTCTTCACACGCATATATATCACCGAAGCCTATGCTACCCATAGCTTGGATTCACATAGCCCACTCAAAACCTTTAAATTCCATCGTTTTCTTCTTTTCAATCCGAAAAACGGGTTATTTTATCGTGAAATGATAGAATGGAATGATATGGACCAAAGCCATGGAAGTTGTCTTTATGTTAACTACAACGGCACATTTTCCGTCAAAAGTTTCGGAAGTTCTTTTCAGACCTCAGACACGCGTGTTTGGTCGTGTTCATGAATTGACGGGCCTCTCGTCTTGTTCATGAACCTCGTAAGTAATGGTGATTGCAAATGATGATACCCTGAAAGTCGCCAACTTGTGCAATGCCAATTCTTTCAATCAAACTACAGCCAAAAGGCATAAAGAGAGAGGTTGCTGTGTGACACCAATAGCTCTCCATGATATTTCGGTCAATAACTAATCACGGTTGAAGATTTCAGCGATTAATGGACCTGTTAGGAGCTGAAAATCTGATGAGGTGAAGAACTTGCCTCCGTGTATTCATTCTGCTTCACATAAATCATGTTCTGCTAAAGAAGCTTGCTGTAAATATAAAGTTACCAAGTTCGAACTTGCTGTGGAAACCCCGATAGAGTGCATACCTGTTAAATGATTCCTAAACAAGCCGTGTGAGATAACAACTCTTAACCATTTCAAATAAAACAGCTTGAGATCAATGCTTAAGAAGCAGGTTCCAGAGAAATAATAGTAAGGCTATTGGGTCCATGCCTAGGATCTTTGCGTCAAAAGTGCTCTGATAGGATGTGATTACTACGTACTGGAAAGTAACACACCACGCGCGACAAATCTTTGAAAGAAAATAGCCGAGCTTCTGAGGACAGCGGTGACGCCACGGCTACCATTAACTGTAGGCTTCAATGAGAGTCCTACTTGTATCATAAAGAGAATCTCGTTGACGTGATTATTTGGCTGGCAGATCCCGCAAAATTTGAGCTAGTGAAGAGAACGAAGTCCTAATCTTGCTGAAGCAAGTTTTACTAGTATGCATAAAGAGAATCTCGTCGTCGTGATTATTTGCCTAGCAGATCCCGCAAGATTTGATCTAGTGAAGAAAATATAGTCCGATCTTTGCTGAGTATGCTTCAGTAGACTAGCTAAACCCATCAAATCCTTTAATCCGAATGCAGCCCTTGAGTGATATAGGTAGGACTCGCTTTCTTTCTAATCGCTTGATTACGACTTGTGGGGAATCCGCTTTCTGCCTCCACTCTGATTGACATCGCGGCATGCATGGACTACTAGCTCGTTGTTTTTGCCCGGCATAAGAGACGGATATCTACAAAATGTACGGAACAAATTTCAAAATCTGTGAGAATCCAAGTGTTAATCTTATCTTATCATGCGAGAAAACAGACCGTGTACGTCTTAAGTGTGATGAAGGATTATGAGAACACTAACTTTGAGTAGTATATACGAAAGCGATTGGCCAATAATTATCCATTGAATTTATGTCTCGAGTTTGAATCGTTTACGGATATAGATCGGTTCGTTAAAAGAAAAAAAGAAAATCTTGAAAATATGCAAGATTTGATCAAGTTGACTTCGTGGACTATAATTTACTTTACCGGGACTTCTTTGTTTGGCCATATAAGAGAAAAAGCATGTGGGGCCAAGTCAGAGTCCCAAAGGAAGTGAAAAAGGGCACACGGAAGAGAGTGGGTTTTCTTTCCTTCGGCGTGAATTGGAAAGAGACAAAAGAGCAAAGTTTTTTCTTTTCGTTTTCATACGTACCTGCTTGCTGAAGCCGCCAGGGACTCGTACAGAGAGCCGAACCGAACAGTGAATAGAGAGGTGACGCACGATCACGCTCTCTGATCGCACGAAGGAGCCGCGAGGACAGAACTTTGGAGGACGATCTTTGAATAGCGGCCGTACACACAGTGACTTGTATAGTGAGTTTATATTGTCCGATTGAGTTGTTTATTCGTACATTTCGAATTTTTGCTGGTATTTTCGTATTGACTTAATTTGCAAGATCCTGTCATTTCCGCGTTATATTTCTAGCACGAACAATCATTGTCCTGGTTTCACTTGATCGAACAACAGGATAGCCCTAAAAGGAAAATCTCTAGCTGCTCTATCATTTTGGCAGACAAATTTATTTGAGGAGCTGGCATTTTGTTCACCTCTCAATCATCTGCATATCGAATAATTTCTTTGGCTACACTGCTTTCATATGGAAATTCAGTATTTTGACACAGAATAATGCCATAGAAGTGCAACATGAGGTTCTAATTCTGTGTCTCTACACAGAACCCAAACTGCTCAATTTCTGCTACATGCATTGCATACCGCCTTTTACTTGGGTACATCGATGTCCCTTCTTGTCTAGAATTTAGCTAGAGTGAATATATCATTTAGCTACCAATTCTTGGTTCAGTTTGGATTGGGATTCTCAGATGGCTGCGAAATCGAATTGTACAGGGAGTTTACCAATTCTACAGCTTTTTGCTCTGACCTTTTAACTTATTTCTCGATTCTTCCCTTGATCATCACGATTTCGACAAAGCTAGAAGACGTATATTTCATCGTATGAGGGCCAAACTTGTCGCCGTCTCCCCCCACCGCCACTTGAACAGGAGAATCGAATGCCATCTACAGTCGTTTCCAACTAGCGGTTTCTGCAGATCAGCTGTCGCTGTGAGAATCTTGAGCTGTCGATTTGGAAGAGAAATAAAGCCTCCGTCAACTTTTACTTCACACTCCCTTCAGGGAATAAAAAAGAACGATATTTTTTTCATGATCACACCGTTCACCATCAAAATACGGCACCAATAATTTGATGAGTGCCAGTTCCATGATTGGAGATGATTGGGGTATCAGCATATATAACAACTATGAATGCAATTCCCAGAGAACAAACTTTTTCTTCTCATTTAGCTTCAGAATCCAGCAGGGTTCTGTGGTGTCTTTTTCTTCTTGGTGCACTGGCAAAGTCTAACTAGAAAGATGGCCCTTTATTCTTTATGCTGCATCCTGACATGCCCTATTTAATTTTATCTCGGGCGGTCGTCCACGTGGAACGGACATTAATCACTAAGCATGCCTAACAAAATTAGTACTCAAGGACAAAATGTACAGGACAAATGGCCCCGATCAAAATCCTGTTCTTCTGCAATTTGCATGCCATCTTCTTTTTCCTATTGGAAATATGAAATTCTGAACCACTAAGCCCACTGCTTTCCCAGAAACAGCATGCCCTACCATGTTGTTGGACGGTCCAGACACTTACTAAGAATAAGAACAACAAGCATTAAGCCTTAAAGAAAGCTGCACTCACCAGAAGAAAGATGAAAGTTGAAGAATAAAATTGTCACAGAGTTGTCTTTATTCTAGTAGTTTACTATATATTGATTAGTTGTGGCGACTAGTGACCCATTTGGAGAGATGCCTATAAATACTCACGTCCGTCTTTCTGTGACTTTGTGCTCTGCAGTCTGAACGGTCTTGGGGGAGGGAAGCTATCTGCCTTAATTTACTACTTCTCATTGGTCACAGTCAAATTGACACGATCTTGATCCATCTTTTCTATTACTAATAAGCACTTTTTTGGCTCTCATCTTTTGTGCACTGCATGTTTTTGGTTCCTTGTAAGTTGAAAGGAGCTTTCCATATTCTTGCTTCTGTCTTTTAGTTTTTCTTGTCTTCCATTCTCTTGCTAATTCTCATATACTCGGCCGGTCGTCATGAGGTTTTCCATGGTGATGTGCAAGCCGCCGGCCCAGCCCTTGCTCGACGCTGCGGGCCTGGTCCGGAGGTCGAACATGGACTTTTTGATCCCTTGGCGTCAGAAGGAGAAGGTCGTGGTGATATTAGGTGCGACCGGGACCGGTAAGTCTCGGCTCTCCATTGACATCGCCTCCCGTTTCCCCGCCGAGATTGTCAACTCCGACAAAATCCAAGTGCACAAGGGGCTCGATGTCCTCACCAACAAGATCACGGACGAGGAGCAATGCGGCATCCCCCACCATCTCCTCGGGACAATCCCTCCCGACGCAGACTTCACGGCGTCGGACTTTTGCGACTCGGCACTGCTTGCCATCGAGTCGATCAGGGCCCGCGGCAACACACCGGTCATCGTCGGAGGCTCGAATTCATACATTGAGGCCTTGATCACTAGCCATGATTACGGGTTTCGATCAAAGTACGAATGTTGCTTCCTATGGGTCGACATGGCGATGCCCGTGTTGCACTCATTCGTGTCTAAGCGGGTCGATAAGATGGTTGAGAGGGGAATGATTGAAGAGGCGAGGAACTTCTTCGATCCAAACGCGGATTACTCAAGGGGAATCCGGCGCGCGATCGGGGTTCCTGAACTGGACTTGTTCTTCCGTAACGAGAAGTCCTTGGACCGACAAGCCCGCGCGCGGTTGCTCGAAGAAGGGATAGAGGAAATCAAGAACAACACGCGCAAATTGGCATGCCGCCAGTTGGAGAAGATCGACCGGCTCCGTAACCTGAAGGGTTGGAACTTGCACAGGATGGACGTGACTGAAGTGTTCCGCAAGCACGGGAAGGCCGAAGCCGACGAGGCGTGGGAAGAGCTCGTGGCGGGACCAAGCACGTTAATCGTGGCCGAGTTTCTTTACAGCGTCACGGCGAATATGACTGCTTCCGGGGGGCTTCACAAGGCCTTCGAGGCCTTAAAAAATGGAGTGCCAACCATGGAAGCTGCCATTGCAGCAGCAAACTATCTCTGAAGTTTTGCTCAAAGAATCGACGAGAGTGAAGGGCATTGCTTTGGAATTTTCTATGCTTTTCTCTTTTTTTGGGGTAGGCCACCACATATATAGCGGATGTAACCTATGATGGAGAGATACTTACAATTACAAAGTAACATGGAATTTCGAACGTGTAATAGGGGAACTTGTGTTCTTTTATGAGAGTGATGTTTAAGGAGACTCCACTACCAAAAGTGAGATGATTTTATGGTGTCTCATCTTCATGTGTGAAGTGCAAAAACAATTACCATGCCAGATTTTTCACAATACATTCTGTAAAAGAGCGGCGTCATTTGTTAAGTTATCAAATTAGAAAAGATTACAGACTTTAAAGTATTGGCTGTTTTATCCTAGGGTTAATGTCACTGGTACATATGACAAATTTACTCCAAACTAATTTTTTTACCACCAAAAATCTCAAATTGGTACACATGTGACGAATATACCTAAAACTAATTTTTTGACTACCAAAAAATCCAAACTGGTAAATTTATGATAAATTTACCTTCAGTTAGTTTTTGTTAAATTAGATTTATACCACGAAAAATCACAAATTGGTGTACTCGTGATAAACGGAGGGTAAAACCCAAAATCGGCATATCCGTCAACTGTCGTGTGTCATCCAATTCGGCAATTTGACAGTAAAATTTAGCGAAAACTAACATAGGGTAAATTTGTCACAGATATACCAATTTAGAGTTTTTTATGATCAAAAAATTAGTTCGGGTATATTTATCACAGGTATTTTGTTCTATATGTACAATCGACTCGTTAAAAATCAAATCATTTCTTACTAATTAGCAGAAGCATATACGCTTTGCAGGTCAAAAAACTAAACAAATTAAGAAAAAACATAAATAAGTTTTTGAAAGTTTGACTTATTTTGAAAGACTACTCTAAGTTACTGTGAAGATTTAGCAAATTTAAGAATGATTTGAAATTAAGTTTGGAAAATGTTTAGAGATTGAACAAATCATGATGTGTGAAGTGTTAGAGACTCGAATTATTTCCGAATTACGATTTTGCTCCTCGATGATTATTTTATTGTTTTAGGTGACCATGGGAGCTGCATTGAATATATGGGAAAAAGTCTTAAGGCTGAAAGTTGAGACCATACGATGGATTTGCATTATTATGGTAGAAAGATTATTCCTCCCGAGTGTCCTTATAGCATCTTCTATCATGACCCTTTGAAAGTCATAAGGGTCAATTGTCCATCGGAACAAACATGGCCAAAGAAAAAAAAGGCTAATTCCTAAAAAATTCTCCATTTTAAGTCCAATCTCAATTATGTTTCATTTATCAGAAATCTCAAACTTTCATTCTAGTCCCAAAATCTACCCATACATCTAAAAATCACCACTAGTTTCTTCAAGATTAGGGATAATGACACAAACAGTCCCTGAATTTTGGCAAGGGTTGACAGCACTCGCTGGCAAAGTCGAAACGGCAATGGCGCACACCCCCGACCATCTATAATCTCACTTTCTCCTTTTAACGTGATTTTTTTTTTTTGCTTTTCTAGTTTTCGTAAATCTTTATTCCGATTTTGTTTCGAACAAAAATGTCATGTTCCAGCCGGCGGAAAATTCAGGTTTGGTCAGCCGACAAGCTCAAGCCCTTATTTGAAATTGACTTGGCCACTTTAGGCCAATATCTAAAACAACATCTTTTGAGAAAATGCCCGACTTCATATCTTTATTTGGAATTTTTCCGTATTCTTATTGTTAATATGTTCCAACTCACCTTTTCCTTTTTTTTCTTCTTTTTCTGTTCTCGAATCTATGAACTGATGGAGTGGGGCCCTACTGCATCTTGTGACATGACAGAGAGATGCTTGCAAAGGGGCATTATTGTAAGAAATTATGTACCCATCGGAATTTTTGTTTCAATTTCCGTACAGAACAAAAAGAATTTCAGCTGCCCTTTTTCTTTTTCTCGCACCATAAGACAGAATTTTTGGCTTTTGCGTTTCGAGATGGTCAAGAGGTTGGGCGCCCTTCAATTTCTTCCGGGGAAAATTCCAAATAAAAATGTAAAGTATTCTCATTTTTTCAAATAAAGATTTGAAGTGAACATTATCTCAAATAAGGATCTAAAGTGCCAAATCATCTCAAATATAGACATGAAATGGCCAAATCGTCTCAAATAAAGGCCTTTGGCCGGCCGGTGACTATTTCGCCGTCAGAGAAGGGGTATTTTTGTCAAAAAAATTATAAGTATTTTTTTTTTACTTTCTTGTTTTTTTTTTCCTTTTTTCTTCTTCCCTCCCCAACCGTTGCTATACCTAGCTGGCGACTTCCGCCAGCCTCAGGCAAGGGCCGCCCTCGCCGGCGTCGAGCGAGGGTTGCCTTGCCTAGGCTAGGCGGGCGAGGGCGACCCTCGCCAAATCCGGCGAGGGCCACCCTTGCCCTCACTTAGTCTAGAGAGGGTCGCCCTCGCCGGTGTCGGCGAGGGCAAGGGCGACCTCCGCCGGCCCCGGTAATGGCCGGCGGAGGGAAGAGAGGAAAAAAAAAGAAAAAAGAAAAGGAAAAAGAAAAGGAAAAGAAAAAAACAGAAAAAGGAAAAAAGAAAGAAAAAAAGGAAAAAAATTCAAAAAAATAGAAGACAAAAATACCCTTCGGCCGGCGAGGTCAGGTCTTTATTTAAGATTGATATGGTCACTTCAGGCGCTTATTTGAGATAAGATCAACTTCGAACCCTTATTTGAGAAAATGAAAGTACTTTAGGCCCTAATTTGAGATAAGATCCATTTCATACCCTTATTTGAAAAACGAAGGGACTTCAGGCCCTTATTTGGAATTTTCCCTTTCTTCTATGCCCGCATACCCATCCCGTCCAATCTTCTAATAGATAATAAATTAAAGAAAAATTACGAAAAAAGTCGTAAAATTATTTTTTTTTAAAGTCATAAATCTATTTTACGAATACAAATTTAGTCTTAAATATTTTGATTTGGCCAATTTAATCATAAACTTTTTGATAATTTGTCAATATAGTCTTTCAGACTAATTTTGATCGAAAATCATTGATGTGACACGGCAATCCTATGTGGCACAGTCAACGTTGAAGCGGACAATATTTTTTAAAAAATTATGAATATTTTTATTATTTTTTTAAATTTCTATTTTTCATTGTGGCTAGCGAGGGCCGCGACCCTCTCTAGCCGCCGGCCCTAATGGCTGGCACGAGTCGCAGTCCACAATGGAAAATAATAAAATCAAAAAATTTTAAAAAATTGCAAAAGTTGTCCACATTAGCTCCGGCTGTATCACGTTGGACGACCCGCCGCGTCCACGTCAGTGATTTCCGGCTACATTGGCTAATTATCAAAATGTTTATGACTAAATTGTCCACGTTAGCGGAACATTTTGTGCATCATCACATAATTCTTCAAAATTTAAGAGTATAACTTTCTCAATAGAATGAAATGCAAAAGGAGGAGTGATGAGTAACTTTTTTGTGTCCATGAAATAAGCCATTACATAGCGAGGAAAGTTCGCGTATTCTTTTGTCGACAAAAGGGCGCCAAAAGAAAAAGAAAAGGAGCGACCAGCATTCTCTATACGCGGGGAGTCATTGTAGGAGGTCCGCATGCAGGCTCGAAATATTCGGCTAAAGCCACAATAATTGCTGTTCAATTTGCGCGAGCCCGTCATCGGCGCACCATCGGATGTAGAATAATCGCCCGATGCTCGGCGTATAGATCGACCCTAAACGAGCCCGAGATTTCCCGAGACGAATTCGAACTCGTTATAAAAAAGAAACCCCCCAAGTTGGGGGGGTACGCTCTCGTGCATTGGGGAATATGTACTCAGTGATCAAAAAGACTTTGGCTTTTCTAATCGCTTCTCACCGTCGAAAGCCTAAAAAGGTTGACGCGAGAGGAATCTCAAAAGCACGCGGTTCTTCCTCCTCTTCCCACTCTTATGAGAGTACGGCGCGACTTGACACCGATCCCCACTCGTGCAAAATCCCAATTTCATTTCCCCTATGTATTCGCAACAAAAAGTTGAAGTAATCAATAATTGAAATGAAAGCTCCTAACTTTTTGTAAAGTCAATTATTCCTTTCTCCCCCCACCCTTCTTTTTCTTCGAGATATAAAGATGACCCAAAAAAAAAAAATAAATGAAAGAACGAGGGACGCGGTATGCACACACTCGCGAATGGGGTCGCTATTCTGTATTTGCTTTTTTGGGTTCGCGGATAGGATTGGAACATAAGTACGCTCCATGTGTAGTCGGCACGCCGATTAATCCGATAAGATTCCGACCAAGTCGCCCTCGCGCCATCATTCGCCGGATGCCGTGAAAGATAAGCCGTCGTTTATAAGTCATTATTCGCGTAAATAATCCCGTTCTCTTTTCTCTCTTTTTTTGCCCCGGGGCTTAAGTTTGTAAATATTTCCCTTTGCGGTGTGTAATTTTTTCGTTTATTTCCGTCCGTTTCGCGGGAAATGAACGACACGAAAAAAAATACTTTCTGGAAAATGATAACCGGTTATCGTGAAATGTTTTCATTATCGACAGCAACTTGTGTCTAGGCATTTTCGTGGACGATGGAAATATTTTCCGTTCGTTTATTTTTATAAGCGACACGAGCGATCATTCTTAGGGAAATATTTTACTGAATCGTTCATTTTTCGCGAAACAAACGGTGCCTTCAAGTTGGTTATTTTTTCTCAAATCTACGGCGCTACAATTGTACTTTCGCGAATTCATTTTATATTCATTTTCCGTTAATTCATTTAACCTATTTTCCAAAAATAAAATCAGATATAAAAGCATTGCCCATGTGGGCGGGCCACACCAGCCAATGCTTTCTCACTAGTCGAGCTTGGGCACTTAACCAGACCCGTAAGTTCGAGCTTGGGGTGTGAGCTAGCCACGGCCTATTGAAGTTCGGGCCCGAAGATCGGCTCGGCTCGAGCCCGCCCGATAATTATGTGTAATTTTGTTTGATCTATCTACGCTTCGACAATTTAATTTACTACCTCGATTTCTAGAAAATAAGTCAATAAAGTATATATCCAGTGTCCGCCAATTAGTCCGCTTACGCTTCCGTCCTCTTTCATCTTCACTTTACTTTTTTTTTTTTTTTTTTTTTGGTCAGAACATCTTCACTTTTACTTGATTGATAAAAATAATTAAGAGGATCGAAACACGCACGGTATTTTCAAAATAATTAATCAACCGATCACATAATTAGCAAACAATTATTGATAATTAGGCAAAGACAACCTTTAGATCCAATAGCAACAAGACTAAAGCTCGATTAGCCATTTGTGACATTAGGAGGTCATTACACTAGTGACGCAATACTAAGAGAGAAGACTCCCAACCCTCTCTGTCAAGAACAAGATCGACAACAGAGCACGACACTAATCCAAACTCCAGAAGCGCATTAATTAAACTAATCTGTTCTTCACTCGATCACGGATGGAGCCTCCCGCCGCAGGAGTAAGTGACGTTGCACGAGTCGGCCACGATCACGGTGTACTCGTGTATTGGCCGGGCCAGGAACGAGGGCAGGTGGACCAGCAAGTCGCACACGCACTCCGAGTCCACCTCCTTCAGCCACTTGCAGCAGTCTTGCTCCGCAGGGGACGGCTCACCCACGCGCCGGCCGTGCCGGTGCCTGTGATGGTGTCTGTGCCTGTGGCAGTGGTGGTGGTGGTGGTGGTGGTGCCCGTACTCGTCCTGGCTCTCGTCGTCATGGCAGGGAGGCGGAGGGGGCGGGCCGGGCGGGGACGGAGGTGGCAACGGGGGAGCTGGAGGGGGCGCTGGGGTCGGCATGATCATCGAGCAGGCGTGGTTCACGAGGGTGAACTGGGAGGCGCAAAGCGGCCGAGGGGGCAGCGGCGGTGGCAGCGGGAACGGCATCGGCATCAGCCTCGGCGTCGGCTGTTGCAATGGGGAGCCGCCCGAATAGCCCCCGAGGGCCGACGCTAGCGCCGCGTAGAGCATCAATGTGGCAAAGTTGGTCCTTCCCATGGTCACTCTCATTAGAAGCAAACCAAACGACGACACAAGAAGTCCACACAAAAGAGCCTCTTTCTTATCTTTGTTTGGTTTACGGGGTACTCCAAACTGGTTTAGTGGGTTCAGTTTTATATGCTAATGAACTCATGTGGTTCATGTTTCACATTAATCTAAGGATGTTTCTTGGGTGAATGGCCAAAGAGAGTGAGGACTAAGGTTGTTGTGTTGCAAGAAGAGAATCGGTTACCGCATGGTTCAGGAATTTCGTCACTTCATTTGGATGACCAATTTCATTTTTTGGCTTTTTTTATGCGTTGCACTACCAAGTGCCTACCTTTCTCGCTGAGGTCGATTGAGGCAACGGGCGTAATGGGCCGGGGGTCATACGAATTTATGGCATGCGAACCTAATCTATGGGCCGGCCTAGATGCGCTCCATCCGTGGATCGGAAAATTCGTATCCGGGCCCGGCATTGGGTCTTCGCTCGCCGGGCGTGTGGGGTCGGGTGAGCGGCCCCGTCAAGGGAGCCGTTTGCCCGGGAAGTCAGAACCGCCTCGCCGTGGAATTTCATTAATCGGGCTCGGCTCAAATGATGGACAGGCCAGTAACAAGCATGCATGCACTTGCTGGAGCGATTACAAGGCACTCATAATAACGCGTGCCTTGCTTTGGTCTATATGTATCTCCGATGAATTTGAATCTTGAGAACTCTGATCATAATATCCATCTAAATCACATTGTTCGTGCGATACGAGAACCGATCATGCTGTTAATTCTCGTCGCAATGGCCATATTAATGAGCTTAGGTTTGTCCTCTCAGAACTCCTCCCCAATTTGGGAGCCCATTGTAAATTTTCCCACATTCGTTTCGTCGATCCCTAAGTGATTTCCTGTCATGAATCTCGTGATCAAATCACATTAAGCAAAGGATTCATAAATAAATAAGCGCTACAAATAATAGATCATGGACATGGCCCCATGAGCTAGTGGCCTAATAGTTTGGGCCATGGTCTTCTCCCAACTAGTTCAATCACAAATGATGCACCATATCGGTTATAACCGTCGATTACGTAAGCTCCATGTAAATTTTACATGAATTTGATCGATTATTCAAAATAGGATAATGTGGAAGACCACGATTGTACTTGGACAATTTTACGAGCATGACTTCGCTTATAAGAAAAGGGGGCAAAATCTCACTTAGGTCATTGTGTTCGTTTGCGAAAAATATTTTTCCGGAAAATATTTTCCGTTTTCCGGTGTTCGGGGCGGAAAATGTTTTCCGTGGAAAACATTTTCCTTCCCCACCCCAAAATCCTTCATTGTTTTGAGGAAAATGATTTCTTCTTTTCACAAAGAGGAAATCATTTTCCCCAAATTGAAGGCAAAATTGCCCATGGGAGGAAAATATTTTCCGTGGGAGAGGAAGTTGATCGCCGGTCACCACCGTTGACGCCGGCCGCTGCCGCTGTCGCAATCGCCATCGCCGCCGCCGCCCGCCGCCGCGCCCTGCCGCTGCCCAGCCGCAGCCTGCCGGCGCTCCGCCGCCGCCGCCGCACTGCCAGTTCGCGGTGAAAATATTTTCGGAAACTTTTTCATATTGGTCGCCGCCGCCACCGCCGCCGCCGCTGCCGGCCGCTGCCGCTGCTGCCGCGTGCTGCGGTTGGCACACCGCCCGCCCCTGCTGATAGAGTGCGGCCGCTGCAGGCGCCGCAAGTCGCCGGTCGTGCGATCGCGCGCCGCCACCGATCGCGCGCACGCCGCCGATCGCGGCGGCGCGCCGCTGATCGCGGCGGCGCCCACCGCGCCCGCCGCGGCTGGGCGCGGGCCGCCGCCGCCGGTCGGCGGTGAAAATATTTTCCGAAACTTTTTCATATTGGTCGCCGAACACCGGAAAATTATGTTCGGAAAACATTTTCCGAAAATGACTTAGGGAAAATATTTTCCAAAAGGAGAATATTTTCCGCCAAACGAACGGAGCCTTAAAGTAGAATTAAGTTGTTAAGGGCAAGCTTTAAGAGGGAAGGGCATTTTGGTCATTTTGCCCTGGCTTTGGAAAATGACAATTATACCCTTGGACTTTTTGAGAAATTCCCAAATTGCCCTCGGATATTTTGGAAAAGATTCAATCCGGGCCGTTGATTTTAGGACAAGATTGAATCTGAGCCGTCGGTTGGGTTTGTGAGAGAAGGGCAAGATCGTCATTTTGGCATATCAATTATTGGATTGGACTATTTAGTCCCAATTTCTCTCTCTCTCTCCTCACTTTGACCGCCGACGAGTCGCCGCCGCTTTCCGCTCTAGCCGAGTTAGTCTAGAGTTTGGTAAGTCGCGCCCTAAACCCTATTTAGGACGTCGAGTATCGACGGACAAAATTAATGGTGAATCGAGTTTAATTAGACGCGGATTAGTATAGTTTTAGGGGCGGAATTGATTAGCGGGCCTAAGGAATTAATTTGGGAGATTTTGGTGGAAAATTGGAGACCAAAAGTGGGCTGTGATTGGCTGATAGGTGTGCTGTGATGTGCCGTTCGGTATGTAAATTGGGTATTTGGATTCGGCAATTAATTGTGGAAAAATGTCGTGAAGAGCCGGAACTGATTTGCCGTGGTTTTGATATGGAAAAATGCCAATTTGTGTGTTGGTTGTGCGTTTGAACGGTGACTGAATTGTGGTGATGAAATTGCGTGCATTAATGTGCAATTGATTGATTGAAATATGCTTGATTATGCGCACGCTCGGGCCGAATTGATTTAATTGTCAATTGGCCATATGGGATGATTATTGAGCATGAAAATGTATGTGAATTGATGCGTGCACGAGCTACGTGTAATTGGCCAATTTATTGGCAAGTGAGTGTTGAGCATGTGAGTGAGTAAGAGATTGTGTGTGGTGTGGCATGTGTAATCGTGGAAATCCCTGAGGCGGTACCACTACGCGGGGATATTTCCGTCCTGAGGCGGTACGACTACGCGGGATGATGCCCGGTATTACCGGAGGACGGCCAACTTGAGGCGGTACCATTACGCAGGTTGTGTCGTAGGTGGTAGGTATTGAGCCTGAGGCGGTACCACTACGCGGGCAAGATACACGACCTGAGGCGGTACCATTACGCGGGCTTTGAAGTGTTGTTATGAGTAAGTCACAGTGAGCCTAAGGCGATACTATTACGCGGGCCACTGGCGAGGCAAGTGTGAGATGGTCACAGTGAACCTGAGGCGGTATCATTATGTGGGTCACTGGCGAGATGTGGTGAAAAGAATGTGATGAGGAAAGCGTGAGTGCATGAAATGTGGTTTGGACGTGCATGTGATTGGAAAATATACTATTGTGTCTAACGTGCAGGTTGCACGCTGGAAAGGCTCAGGTAAGTGTAAATGGCGTGCCTGTTGTGTGATGGTTGGGTGTGTGATTGTGTTGTGATTGTCTGGAGGTACGTGATAGCCTAGGTGGGGTTTAGGGTGTGTGCTTGCTGAGATGTATTCTCATAGTTGTTTCAACCAAATATTTCAAAACCCCGGCCTGATCAATGAATCCTTCGCCGCCGCCGTCACCTGAGCGTTTTGGAGTACCGATGCACACCGAACACGAGGTTGTAGAGTTTCCTATGGATGACCATATGACCTGGATTAAGCATACCACTGTAGTCTTTGTAGATGTAAGATTACCCCTGTGGGAGCCCCATACATACACAGCTTGGTTCTTCCGAGACGGGATAGATGAGTTCGGTCCCGTCCGCGGATTTGACGTCCCCTTTGATGGAGTTGGGGACTGGGACCCATTGCTATACCTCCTCCAAATGGCAAGTTGACTAGTGTGGAAACTAGTCTGGCGCAGTCTGGATTGCAGCAAGCGCCTGCAGCACCTGAGCCCTCGGAGGCCGAGCATGAGCCAAAACCTGATGAGTCGCAGGCGGGGTGTGATCCAATGGACGTGGATCTCGAACCGATTCCAGAGGAAGAACCGGAAGAAGAAGGGGTCGAGGCCGAACCCGCGGATGAACCTGCTGAACCGGAGGACGAGCCTGAAGAAGAACCAGAGTATGTACTTCCATATGAGCAGTGGATGGACCCCAATTTTGTGCCAAAGGATGATTTCTTTGAGGAGTCGGTTGAGGAGGAACGAGACGAGGTTCCTGCTGAGTCGGTTGATATAAACAACCCGATCGAGATAGGGGTTGAGCCGGAGTCTTCAGAGGAGCAGACAGTCCAGGGGGACTCAGACTCGAGTGTCGAAGAATCAGACTCAGAGTGGACGCCGAGCAAAGGACGTAGGGGTTAGTGTAGGGGTTGGATTAGGCTTTTTGGAGTATACCATTTTTGAGGATAGAATACCCAGGTCATCGATTCTTTTTGTTATCGGTGGTTTATAGTACGGTGTGCATATGTATATGGCGGTTGTAAATTGTGAATATTATATAAGTTTGATAATGAGAAATGAAAATGTGTATTCTCCCTGATGACCTCAGTTATTATTATTCGGGAAATTTGTGGTTTCCGCTGTTGATATAAATCTCTGATGAATTCCAATTGGGTCGGCGATACCCTGGGATGTCGCGATCTTCGATCGTAGAGGGATGTCGCGTACTTGAATGGGTTCGGGGCGTGACACGAGCTATCCTCAATGATGATAAAAGAAGTAAAATGATCTACATGTCATACGCATGGAGTTTCGGGCAAAGAATTGCGTTGACTGGATTTAAGCTTCTTGGTTATACCAAATATGTTCTAAGTACTTCATTTTATAGTAATGTAGAGTGAACTCAGTGTCATGATCATATTTGACTTTGCCTAGCATTCATTGTGAATCTCAGCAATTTGATCGATCACGTGGTGATCATGATAGGTTGAGATAGTCACTTTGTGGCTCCAAAAGTACGTAAACTCAATGTTTTGCTCGGTCAAGCAATTGCTTTCTCCTAAGTGTGCTTTCATTACTGTTTGATACTAAGCGAGAGACCTCTTTTCTTCCGGTTTTAAAAGTCACAATTTTGAGTTTTCTATAGCCAAATCTAGCAAAAAATTAGAAAGTAGAACATCATTTGTTTGAAAGACCATAAATTAAAACGAACAGGAAGATTGTAATTC